GTGCTAGCCTTCTGAGTGACACAGGACTTTAAAGTCAAGCCAAACCAATAACTCTCTAGTCAATATTAGTAAACGTTTCGCCAGTTGTCCATGTTCTGCTGAAAACCCGACGAAAAGCATGTGGAAGATGTGGGGAAATATTCGTTGCTAGCCAATCATAGTGCTTCTTTTGCTAATTAATAAGGCAAGCACAAGCAAAAGTCCCGTGTATGCATGTTGCAAAAGTGCTGTATATATGGGCGCTAGTGCACCGTTAACTCAACTCCAAGTTCCTCCCTCCATCGTTATTCAACCATCTCCACACACAAACACCACAACTGTCGATACGCTAGTCGTATTCACTTCTAAAGCCTCCGATGATGCTCGAACCACCCCGCTATGAGGCATGGAAGTGTCTTGGGGAGGAGTGCGTCCACTCAGCAAAGTTCGACTCACCCGAGCAGCAGGCGTTCTCGCAATGCCTTCCTGACACACACACACATCTCCTTGACATGATAAAGGATACCATCGACAGGGAGCACCGTAAGATCATCTGGATATCTGGTGAATCAGACACAGGCAAATCCACCATAGTGCGCAAACTCGCCCAGGATTTCCACGACAACGGCGCGCTCGCTGCGACCTTCTTTTTCTCCCGCAGTCACCCTATCCGTAGCACCGCAGATCATGTTATTCCCACCATCGCTTACCAACTTGGTCTCCTTCATCCTCTTGCCAAAAAGTCTATCATCGACGAAATCGTCAACGACCCCCAGTTGCTCAAGCAGGGAAAGTCGCGGTACGAGCAGTTCACTCACCTTGTGCTCAAACCGCTTGAGGTCCTGAAGCACAACTGGGAAGGGAAGTCTATGGTCATGGTCTTAGACGGGCTGGACGAATGCAATCCCGGCGACCACAATACCCGCGTCGCTTAGCTGATCGATCATTTTCATAGAGCTCTTCAGCAAAGTAACGCTGCCAGCTTCCGTGTCATACTCACCAGCCGTCCCTATCCGTACATTCGGGATGTTATGTCCAGGTCCTCCCTCGTTACACCGCTGAACATAGAAGATTTCGACGTCCCGGATGACACTAAGCAATACTCCCGGTCTTCCATCGGCAATCTCTCCTCAGCGCAAGCACTTTATGATGCGCCCCACGGTAGTCGACCATCGGTGATTGACAAGGCTTATAGTCTCCCCATCGTCGGCGTCGTTTCGGCTACGATGATTGCGTTGCTGACGCCGAAGATACTGGCGTTTGCCGATAAACACTTTTCCTCGATTCAAGTTGTCTTCTCGATAGGTGTTGTAGGCGCGTTACTCCTATTGCACCAGCGCATCGCGTCTCTGGAACGGGCGATCGCAAATATGAATGTTAGTCAGTCACGACAGGTGAACGGGAACGAAGAGTTTCCGGAAATCATTCCTTCGCTGTCGGCTACATCTTCGCCAGACGTCGACACCACGAGAGGTCCAATACGCGCGGGTGTCTATCTGGTCGCCCGAATCGAAGAAGATAGTGCTATAGATTTATCTGGAGACGATGGAAGAACAGTTATCGGTACGTTATAGTCGGAAATGTCCGGAATTCCGCAGCAATCAGCTAATGCGTCTCACTCAGGCTACAAAATCCATAAAGGCAATAACCAAAAAGTAAGTTTATACGAGGAGCATGCCCTTTGACCATTATAACAATGATTTCTCCGACCCAGTGGGAGTTCTCACCAATGGGAGCGGGGTATTCCATCAAATGTGTGGGTCCGGGGACGTATCTCTCCTGCGAGAAGGAACAAGAGGGAGCTACAGTAGTCGCTGCGCTTAATCCCGTTAGCTGGGATATAACAATGCTCTCAGGAAAGCAAGGGCTCGCTATGCAGTAAGGGTTTACATTTTCTTCCGGGCTACGCTGACCTTGCGCCAACTTACAGAATTATGTGGCCAGATAGTTCTTTTGCGATGACGCTGGATTCGTCGCGCCCGAGAACCGTGGTGAGCATGCGCAACTACTACTACTATTACTGTGATGAGATCATTAATGGATGCGCCGATCCAATAGGTTAAGCTGTAATCAGTTGGGCAGGCAGGACAGGAATGGGTGGCCCATCCAATTGGTTAATCTTCGAAAACAACGGGCTAGGATAATACTGTAAATGTGCGGCACGAATATTTCAGCATCTTTCATTTTTAAGACGAGATTCTGGCTACAGATCGCGAGTGAAACACCTATATCTGTAAGTCCCTTTGACTAAAAGCATATCCATCCCGAGCCGAATCCTTGAGCTACGGGTACATGATTACTCGCGTTACCATCTACGGTCTTTGAAGTTACTCAATGGCAGTATGACCTCTCGCACGTCAAGTTGCTAGGCTCTTTCAAGAAAATGTTCAGATCTTGAGCTTGAATGACCGTGGTTAGGACCTAACACTGCTACGTCACCGGGACATCATCAAAACCCCTATCCTTCGGCTTGCTTATGCATCCGCCCAGACATGGGGCACTTGCTCTCGGCACCCTATCCTCGAGGAGGAATAAGAAGGACACAGGTACGCGTTTGAGAAACACCCACATAACTATCGCCATGTCATTTAGCACCATTTTACTTTTCGCACTCGCACTCGCGGGCGGTACCCTGGCCTTCAGACTCATCTCTCTCAGTCGCCGATGTGCATTCAAAGGCGACCCATCGATGTGTTTGCCACCCGGGCCACCATCACTTCCCCTCATTGGAAACGCACTCGACATCAGTGCAAAGAATCCAGGACAGAGCTTCGCGGACCTGGCGAAAAAATATGGTAAGGGATTCTCACCCCTTGAAGTTACATCGATTTCCCGACTTACGTTGAGAAAAGGTGACATCGTCTGCCTCCACATCTTCGGCGAAACTGTCCTTGTCATAAACTCGCTTTCCATCGCAAAGGACCTCCTCGAGAAGCGCTCGCGGATATACTCTGGTCGCCCGCAGTATGCCACGTACAAGTCTTATGGCGCGGATTTGATCACGCCGTTCCTCGACTATGGCGATCCGTGGCGACTCCATCGCCGGCTGTTTAACCAGACGATGCGGCAGGACATGATCGAGTCGTTCAGGCCCGCACAGAAGCGGAGCGTGCAGCAGCTGTTGAGTAATCTGAGTTCGTCTCCTAAAGCCTGGGATGAGCATGCGTACACGTACGTGGAGATCTTCCCTCCTCTCCATGCAATTCCGTCCAGGAGTAACGAGTCGCCCTGTCCAGGTTTGCGAGCGGTGCAATCTTGTCCACGACGTACGATTACAATGTCCAACCGCGCGCGGATCCACTCGTGCAGGTGTTCACCAGCACCCTGGACAGCTTCACATTCCTGTTTTCTCCAGTGACACCTATTATTCTTAGCGTTATGCCATTCCGTACGTCACTGCAGTGAAGTGCTCACCGTATACATGAATCCTACCACGTTTTCACCACAGTCAAGTTGATGCCACCGTCACTCCCGGGTGGAATCCTCAATGCGAAGGCATTCAGGACAGCAATGCAGGAGATGATCAACATGCCGTTCAACATTCTGAGAGCGCGAAAGGTAAGTAGAAGTTTCTGACTCATTGAGCGCTCATGACCGATTTACCTCGATGGGCCGATTCAGGACGCAGGCAAGAGTGCATCCTGCATCGCCACAACGCCTGTACCGCGCACCACTATGACGCCAGCCGAGGTCGACTTCCACTTCAAAGGATTTTGCACCAGTGTGTTTGGCGGTGGGGCAGGAACTGTGCGTGTACCCATATCACATACCTTTCTGTGAGGGAGAGTTGACGCGAAGAAATTTGTCAGACCTCGGAAACGCTGCGCATCTTCGTGCTGTTGATGGTCCAGAACCTACATGTCCAAGTCCGAGCGACGCGGGAGATAGACGCCGTGGTCGGGAGAGACAGGCTTCCCGACTTTGAGGATCGTGAGGCTATGCCCTACGTCGAAGCGGTTGCTCGGGAAGTGATGCGGTGGCAGCCTGTCGCGCCCCTGGGTGAGCGTTCTAATATATCTGTTTTCCTTCTAGCTGAAGTTGAGAATGAAAAGGTGTTCCACACAGCAGCACAGAGGACGACACCTATGGCGGATATTTTATCCCAAAAGGTAGCGTCATTATCCCCAACATCAGGTAAGCGACTAACCCTCGGCACGCCCTACACCCTCGCCTCTAAAAACTATCATCAGAGAGATGTCGCACGACCCCACCAAGTACCCCCGCCCAGACGATTTCCTCCCCGAGCGCTTCCTCGCCGCGGACGGCACGCTCAAAGACAGCGACGAAACTGACCTGAGCTTTATTTTTGGCTTCGGGCGTCGCGTCTGCCCCGGCAGGCACTTCGCGAACGCATCGCTGTGGATCGCGATCGCGAACCTGCTCGCCGTGTTCGAGTTCCGCCAGCCGAAGAATGATAAAGCAGAGGAGGTGCCCGTTGTTCCAGAGTGGACGTACGGGTTGACGTCGTAAGTCGCATACCCTAGTCTTGACCTATGGAGAGATCGGATGATTGTGGTCATGGCGGTGGTACTGACGAGCGACTTCCCATCTTCAGGCACCTGGAGCCATTCGCGTGCAACATAGTCCCAAGGCACGGACGCGACACCAATCAGATTGAGAGAATGTCGAGCTTGTTTGTGGAAGCCGAGGCGTGAGGATACGAATGCGATCTTCTCTGACACTACATTTATAACATGAGCCGCTATCTGTAACATTAATATGAGTTTTCGGATGTGTCTCTAGCTGCAGGCCTGCTTACCCCCAATACGTTTGCTTATCATCTTAGGCTAGGGCGCCCCGGCATCGTCCGAAGAAAGCCAACGGCTATTTCGCACCCAGAGTCGAGGCCCGGCAACAGCCAGAGCATGAACAAGACACCTGGATCAGCGTGGCTGAGCACTCGCAGATCGAGACAGGCGAATGCAGTACTAGTACCGTATATTCACGCTTCCACGAAAGGGAGGCCACGTTCTACGAAGGTTCCCGTTCCCGAAGCCCCCGTAGAATGCGGAGACAAGCGTTGGCGCTGAACAGCCTCTCCATCTCCACCCATGCTATCTTAGCTTCCCCTCTCCGAAGCGCTGGGCACGATCTCTACGCTCGATCGGCAGGCATCTCATCAGCATCCAATGTGCTACACCCCTAGCGAGACAAAAGTCTCGGAAAAAGTGCAATATAATGGATGCTAATCGCCAACGTGCCTCTACGTCTACGAGTGCAGTGTAGAACAGAGTGCGAGGGCGCAAAGCGGGTGCCAAACCATGTCAACTCCTCGACAAGAAGGTCCTAGGCGTGTCTATGTCAGTATCAATTGACGCCACTTCGGGCGAGCGGAAATTAATGATCAGCGGACGCACATCCCCGGGAGCGTATATTTATCTGCCCCGGCGGTCATTGAGAGCGTAAGACAATACGCAACTGTAGACGTAGGCAGCCTATCAGACAAGGGGAAAGATACGGAGCCATACCGTTGGTACTGTTTAGTCTCCGAGCAGACCTTGATACGTGCTCAGCCAGAGGGCTTCGCTCGCTGCGCAGGAGGCTTGCTCTACGTGTCAAGAGGTACTGTTGACAGCTGAGCGTCAGAGTCTCGATAAAGAATGACGCTTTGGAGAGTGAGTATACGCACCTTGGAGCGATGCGGAGTTCGAGTCACCCTGGGCAAGGGCAGCCGGTCCGGCTGGTTTATCAGAGTGCCGATTCGGCGATGTCAGGTACTGCTAAGGTGTGCCACACACGCATTTGCATCTGCATCAGCGGCCTGAACGTAATGATCCCATCTGAAGATACTTGCTTCCGGATTGTCTCTGACAGCCGAGGGCGAGGGCGATGCTGCGAGCGTCGCGGGTCCTCGACCAGCTTCTTAGGAGGCAGTATTTGAAATGGGGGGAGAAGTTTTCGCGAAGCAAGTTGCCATTGATCTTCGGGGCCACGGAATCTGCTGTGTATCGCAGCCCTAGACAAAAAGCATCGCCTTTCTTGAGCGTTAAGCTCTGGGTTCAGTCATATATCGCATGGTATACAGTGTGTCATAGATGCGGCATGATGGGGCGTTGGCTGTTGTCAAGCAACGAGCCCAACTTTGAGTGGATGAATGAGAGCTTGCGAGGAGGCGAGTCTATATTGGCGAGGACGGAACCCCACGAGAAGCGGGAAGGGGGGACGGATGATTAGGTTCAAGGCAGGGAAGGTAAGGTTAACAATAGGATCGGGTAGTCGGAGCAGAGAGGTGGAAACGTGTTGCGAGAACTGATGTCAGGCGGGAGTCATTTGGCCTATCGGCCGTCCAAATAGTTCCAAAAGGGAGCGAGGGGCATGGCTCTTTCAGATTCCTGGATCTGGACGAGCGGGTAGCCTATTCGAGCTGTGGTGATATGAGCGCTCTAAGTCGAATGGAAGAGCAAGATATGCTGTAAGGAACGCACGCGCATGGGGCCATAGAGTCAGTGGTGGGAGCTCGAGGGGCAAGAAGATGCAAAGTATCGTCGAAAACAATTAGACTGGCGCGGCTGACCGACGGGTAAGAGGGGAACAAACAGGGAACAACAGCCGGATTGGGCGTCCATCTTTTTGTTTATTGCCAGATTACAACTCGTCTATTGTGTTTGAGCGTTCTGGAAGTCCTCTGAACCGACACCCGCGTATTCTCCATCCACGCCCTCACACAAAAGACTTATCCACCCACCCTCAGCCAAAGACAAAAGACTTGCAAGCGGTCTTTTGTTATCATACCAGTCACCAGGATGGCGCCTTGCGGGGCACCGCGCCTCAGGCTCCGTCAGCCTCTTACTGACACGCCCGCCCGGCCCAAGATGGCACATCCCGTCGCACCGAGCAGATATAAAATGCAGAGAACAATGGGCCCAGTCTTGTCACCAGACATCCTCATCGCTGCTATTCACAGCACAATAGCATCCCCGCCGATCCACCGACGACACCACAATGGCACCCGCAGCAGCCAACTACTACTCTCATCCGTCCACCACCGCCTCGCACCCGCAAAAGCAACGCGGATACCGCGTATGCGACACCTGCGGCGCGGTTGAGAATCCCACTATCCAAAAGTTCCGTCTTTGCGGTGGCTGCGTACGTCCCTCTTCTCTTCATCTCGCTTCCCGTAACCGCCGGGCTAACCTATCCGTTCCTTGGACCCACAGATGACCACCCAGTACTGCGTACGTGCATCTCCTTTTCCATCATCTCAAGCCCTCTCGCTTACCCACCTCCACCAGTCCCCTGAATGCCAAAAGTCGCACTGGCCCTCGCACAAGGTCATCTGCCAGCACACCGCCGCTCAGATGTCGGGCGCGAAGCAGCAGCCCGTAGGCGCCGCGTACCCAGATGAGAACCTCGTCAAGTATTTGCGCAAGTTTACCTCCACGCACTCGTCCCTCCTCGGCTGGGCTGGCTTCCAGGCGCTCCAGCTCAAGCGCATGCCCTCCAACATCCGGCAAAACTGCCTCCTCATCGAGCTTGGCTACAACCCCCATGCTGAGTCGCTCTTCCGGTGCGTTCTTCCCCTCACTATAGCCGCCCGGCCAAAGCCAGATGCTTACCCGTTATGGACATACAGATTCACCGTCTCGCGGACACACATCGTCCCCCGGTCATACGTGACCGACAACGACCCGCTCGTGGGTGCCGACATCGAACGACGGGAGGAGCGCTGCCGCCGTGCGGGCGGTATCGGTACGCTCGTCGTCCTCGTCCAGTGTGGCGGCATCAGCCAGGTTATGCCCGTCGAGGTCGACCCGCCCGCCAAGATCTCTTGGGACCAGCGCGAGGACTGGGCCGAGGTGCTCCAGCACTTCGTCGCGTCCGGCCGCACGGACTTCAAGCCCATATCGACCACTGCCAGGGGGTGAGTTTACTTGTTTATCGCGTTATTCGGGGGAATATGGAGCTGACGACGCGCTACAGAGTCGTCTACGGATGAATGATTTCCTTCATCTTCGACTTTTCCATCTTCATTCATATTCATTTGGGACTCTCTGGCATGACTACCACGAGCGCAGATCACTGCGCCTCGGCTCGACGTCGATCGTCGATCTTCGAGTACCACCCCGCATCCACGTTTTACGATTACACGCATCTTCGTTCTCCTCTGCATCGATCGGACTCTCCTACTTGCCTTCACATGTCGATAACTTAGCCGCGCATCATCTTGTATAGCATCACCTCACCATTCTTCGTTCGCATTCTGTACCACCTTTGCTTGTATTATGCATATATGCATATGCTCTAATCATCTTTGTGACGATCAATCCAAAAATGCTTCATAGATCATATTTCAAACATCGAGTCCGTCCTGAGCATCTGAACCCAAATGTCGAGGAAACACTTGACGGATAGTGAGGATGCGACAAGAACAGACCACAAGAGAGGGAGATGATGGAGTGGGATGGAAAGCCATGGAATGTCGCCCGCTTGCCGGCCGAAACCAAAAAACGTGGCTATGATGTAAGCAATCTCCGCGGTTCAGACTTCCCCGCATCCCTATCCTTGCCTTCGTTCAGACCAGCAACCTTTGATCTTTCTTCACTAGTCATCTCCATTTCCTCTCCCATATACACCGTTGTCCTAAACATCGCTGCCCAGTCAACGAAAGGAAGGAAGATGGCGACAGCAGCCCAGCACAGACCCAACACTGGCGCCCCTACGGACGGCTCGCGCACCATCACCCTGCGGGACTCGCAGCCCCGCCCCGAGGACGACTCTGGCGCGGGTCCTTCCTCAGGCGAGGCGCACGTCGTGGGCGCTCTCAGGCTGAGAGGACAACCGAGGCGGACGAGGGCGAGGGTGGCGTGGGACGAGGGGGTGGTAGACAACGAAGGAGCGGGGAAGAAGAAATCCAAGAGTACGTGTATTGAATTTACCTCGTCATCCTCGCCTCTTCCGCCTTCTATCGATGATACATCTGCCGCTGGCTCAGCCATTTCTATGATCGATACCATTGATGCTAACACCTCCGGACAGTATGCTGCATCTACCACAAACCCCGAGAATTCGACGAGAGCTCCTCGGAGGAGTCGTCCGATTCTGATTCGGACTCGGGCGCTGGGCGCAGACACCATGATCACAATCACAACCACGATCACAACCACAACCACCCGAACGGTAATGGGCTCGCGTCCAGAGACGGCGGCAGCAACGTGCACGAGCTGCAAGATTCGGACTCGGACGCTAACGCATACGAGCGCAATCCGAAAAAGGGGAAGAAGTAAACCATGATTGATGTGAGCACTGGAAGTCGATCCGCTCTTAGACGGGGACCGGTAGCCTTGTTGTCGATGTCGGCTGCAACCTAGATTCATGACGATGGGAGACGATTGTATATTAATACCCTGTTGCACGCTCGATTGATCTCCTCTCGATGCATATATGCTGTACTACTCTTACAATAAAATAATGGCCAATTTCCTTTTTTGTTGCTTCCGAGAACAAGCGGACATCGCACGTATGAAGTAAGGACTTTGGTTTCGCCAAAAAGATGTCATGATCATCCAGCATAAGTTATTCAGAGTCCGGGCTAAATCCAGCTCATGGCGCGAAAGTGCAAAAAGACTGACAAGAGTGGGATTCGAACCCACGCCTCAATTAAGAGATGAGAAACCTGTGCTTTGCAGGCAAGCTTTCGCTTGAGTCACACGCCATAGACCGCTCGGCCATCTTGCCGTTGAAACAACAGTCATCAATCCACCTTATATCGCATCCGCTCTCCCTGAGTATGGATCTCTTCGCGTCTCCCACTCTTAACTCGTGTTCTCTCAACCAGCCTCCCCGCAAGCGACTTACGCAAGGCGACATACGGTACGCACCTATCCGTGACCACGGTGTCCGAGGCGACTGATGCCTTGTACTGATGCACACCCACATTATCTGATCGCGAGCCTCGGAGCGGGCGCCAAAATAGTCTACCGTAGGCAGATTTTAGACTTTGAAGTTATCCATCTCTCGAAGTGGCGACATTCGAGGCTTCGAGCTCGCAGTTCCTCTCGGGGCAACTCCTTTTGATCAGTCCGAGTCTTGTCACCCTAAACTGATCGTCGCCGGGGCATGCGGCTGAGTGCTCCGACTAGGGCCGACTCTCGACTCGATCCGGCGTTCCTCGGAGCAAGCTCGGAACCGAGGCTTGAAGCTTGAAAGACAACCCGCCGAACCCGAGTGCGTACCGCAACGCCTAAAAACTGTTCTGTTTCTTCTACCCGACGTTGGTGTTGCGGGAAAGGAGGGCGAGAGCTGCGGCATTAGGTTAGTGAAGCCGGCACATATTTGCACCGTTCCTGATGTCTTGTGTTCAAATTGTACTCCGAATAGTACTCGTCTAACGGCGTTCAAGTCGTCTAGACGACCTTGCAGAGTTTTTCCAGTTACACCGCTCAAGAAGCGATGCTTCGCTGGACATTTCGCCCTGTTCATTAACGGGCGGCAAGGAAAGCCAAGGAAGACTAGCATGAACCTACAGCACATCTTCGCTCATGCTAAACGTTGGAAGCAGGCATCCATGTGGTGAATGACGTACTTTGGTGGCCGCAACTAAACTTTGGTGAGTATATGGGGCTTACTATCCTTGCTCGACCGCTTTGCTAGTGCCAGGTTTATCCCTCCAAAGACTCCAAGCGGTATTTAGTTGAGAGAAATTGCCTATTCTGGTATTGTCTTCTGACATACCTTGGGATAAATGTTTTAGGAACCAATGTTCGTCGCAACTGTCAGCGAAAACAATTACCGACGGTATACTGACTTGTTCTGAACGCGAGCAATGCGCTCTGGCCGAGGACTACACAAACTATCCGCCAAGCTCTCGTTGCTTCCAATAGTGGAAGCGTCGCCATTAGTTGGACCCTTTACCGTCTGATGGATTGAAACTTGCCCATTTCCAGTCTCCTCCGAGCTCCCGAAACCCACGACGACGTCTGTACCACTCGCAGTCGGCGACGGTCGGAGATTAACGTTGAACCCACAGAACCACCCTGCCCCGCGAGCCACTTGCAAGGGTCATGGGAGAGAAAGAACAAGGTGCGTACCTGTACATAATCGGTCCCACAGCGTCAATCTTCTCTCCGAGCTTTACTGAGGGTTCAATACATGTACTAGCCACCGCTGCAGCCAGACTCCGCTAAATCAAGTCAGTGTCTGACATGAGCCCATAGATCCATTCTCGCGTCAATACACATACCGTGTCTCACCTTTTCCTTCTTCCTTTGAGATCCTCGGGCCTTAGCCTGCGTACGTTGGGGTCTAGCTGAGGCGGTAGCGCGCACCAGCCTTTCAGAAGAAGTTCTCGACAGTAAGTGCCACGTCCATTCAATGGCTCATTGAGCTGTCTATGGCTTACTAAATGTCGCTGCCACACCCTAGGTTCTGCATCGGTGATAGGCCTGTCTTGATGTATCCAACGCCGTCCTATCAAGGACTGCCTTTCCCTTGTTGGCTCGTCCAGTTCCATTTTCTCTCATCAGGTGATGCTTCCGTGAAAAAAAAGCCGATCCCCCTTCTTTTGAGTCCCGCTCTTGGTCCGGGATTTTGGCCTTTGAATGCTGTCCGCCTCCCAACCAACGCCACTGGAATCCACGTACTTGATGGTTTGCTTGGTGATTATTTGTAAGTCTGGGAATTGTATCCGCACTCCTGTTTTCTTCAGCGAGGGGCGATGATACCCCTGGACTCCCTGACGTCCTCGTTCACCGCCTCTTTTCAAATGGGGTTTTCATTATGCCTGCTCCAGGTGGCTGATCACACGAGCACGTATCTGGACGCAATGTGGTTCAAGGGAAATGTGCGGTCAGAGACGTTACGTCTCAACCACTTAAATAGCTGCCAACAAATCTGCCAGTCAGAGTCGTTGACAACCCAGCATGCCCTCTCTTTCTTCTGGAACGATCCTCGTGACGGGCGCAAACAGCTACCTCGGGGTTCACGTGGTCGGACATCTACTCCAGAAGGGATACCATGTCCGTGCCGCAGTTCGCAGCGTCAACAAGTGTCCTCACCTCCTCAAGTTATTCTCCAATCATGCGGGTCGACTAACGCTGGCCGTCGTGGGAGACATGAATCAGGTACGTGCAGAATTTTCTAAGAAAAGCTCCATGGGTGACATAGCATGTAGAACGGCGCGTTCAATGACGCGGTGCGAAGTGTCGCGGGGATAATTCACATAGCAGCTCCTGCACTGAACGCTCACGGTACGCCTTTTTCCTTATTTTATTCGCCGGTCATTCGTGACTTACAATCCCATCTAGACATTCTACCGTCGTCGACCTGGAGCGTCCGGAATATCTTAGAGAGTGCCCAATCACACGCCGGCCCCACCTTGAAGCGCATCGTGTTTTGCTCATCTCTGGATGCCATCACCGTACCAGCCAACGCTGTCGTTCCTGTCACTGCCATGGCGGCTGAGCAGAACAAGGCTGCAATCAAGGCCGTTGAAATGAACCGTACGCGTGCCAATCCGACCAAAGTATATGCCGCCTCGAAGGCTTCGGTCGAGACATCCATATGGGGATTCTTTGACGCTCACAGACGCGTTATTTCGTTCGACTTCTCGATCATCAGCCTCCCTTGTGTTCTAGGAGTACGTCTCTCCTCGTGGCTCAATCCGACTGCACGGATCACACCGATTGGAGTTCCTGATCTCGATGTCTACCCCACAGCCGCCCATCCATGAGGTCAATTCGCCGTATACGAGTGGGAGCGGTGACACAGGGAAACATATTTTCAACGCATTGGTGCATGGTACGTTTCCAGCGGGCATGAACCCGAAGACCGAGCCCGCACAACTCTGGGTCGACGTTCGTGACGCCGCGGCTGCGCATGTTCGTGCGCTGGAGACGGAAGCAGCAGGCATGCGGAGGCTCATCCCTGCGCAAGGTACACCAATGGTATTTGAAGACCTCGGTGGGTGACTCGGTCTCTCATGCCACCAACGAATTCCGTGGAACTAATCTCTGGGTCGGTTTGTTCCCAGTCAACTCTGCAGCATCCCTACGGCCGTTCGTGTACGACTTCTCCGAAGCACTGAGGTCTATCGAGAAGTTCCAAGATGCCCCTTTGGGGAACTCTCAGGGTGCGTCGTTTGACGTCACCGAAGACACAGCTATTCTGGGGATAAGTTATCGTTCTCTTGATGTTACAGTGAGAGACATCATAGCGGACTATGCTCGTCGAGGATGGATTGGATCAGGCTCGTAACCTGATGCTCGGTTCAAGTTGTCAATGCTCAGTTGTATTTTAATCACTTTGATACGCCTCATTATGAAGATGATTATTTATGTTTATTCTATCAATCAACTATGTCATTTGAGCCAGGAGTCTATCGCCTCGATGGGCGAACCAGCTTAAGTTCGTGAGTGTATGTATAACTTAGACGCGTTTTCTTCTTCTTCTGAAAATCGAGCAAGAACGTCCAGTAGGAAGACAAAAACAATCGAATGTACTGACTCACGCAACCCGTGTCACCAGCTCCTCGGATGTTCGTCGAAACGCCGCATGTACTCTTGAGGCCTGATTCCCCGTCCTTTTGAACGTCGAACACTGATTGAACTCCGGCGGACCCCAAATTTACCCCGGAGCTTGAACGGCCCATGGGGAGATCATTGCAGACACACGGCAATTTTCTTCGGGAGCAAAGCGGAAGGTGGCAAAATGAAACCTTGTCTGCCTGGTCGCTGCCGGAGAAACCTGGAGAAACAGGGAGAAACCCACTAAAAAGCTTACCATTAGCCTCAGACCAAGCCTTTTCGTCCCGACTCCCGAGACCACGCGAGAATGAGGACGGTGTTGAAATCGGAAGTCCGGCAGTCGCGCTGGTCTGGCGAGGTACGGCAGTCCGGCGGCAAGTTGCGAGGGGTTTCGGGGTCTTGGTCAAAATCAAAACCACGTGACTCAGACGCGCCGCGCCTCCCCTCGTCCTCGTAGCCACAGTACCTCACATTCCATGTACCAATACGCTCAAGAACTATACAGTAGCTGAAGAACTTAAATAAAAATCCCCGTTCTACGTTATCTCTTCGCGCGATACCGCTTCCTACTCCCGCTTACTCTCCAGAAACTCCCCTCTGAGATATGAGCTCTTCTACTGAGCCTAACACTCCGTCTATGGAAGGGGGCAAGGTGATCTGCCCGAAGTGCGCGCGCGCTGGTCGTCGCACTCTTCTGCTGGTGAAGGTGGTCGGAAAGGGTCCCAACAAGGACCGCTACTACGTGAATGTGAGTCCTTATTTATATCTGCCTCTCGTAGCCTTTGGAGTACTCACTCGTGTATCTCACAGTGCTTCCACTCGTCTCACGGCTACGATGCTCGTCGTAAGCGTATAGACCCCATGTGGCACTTGTGGCTACTCGGTGATGTACCGTTGGCGCTGATCGCCTGTATGCGGAACCGAGAGGACAACACCGCGAGCGTAGTGGTTTCGAAGAAGAGCCAGAATAATGAATCCGTACCAGACCTGCTCATGAGTTACCTTCGAGCTGAAAGGGAGAGCGTCGTCGCCGTCTAGGGCCCGTGGACGGCTGAAGTATCTGTTGGTGAGCTTTCGTGAGCGTGATAGATCAAAAGCCGTGGCACAGTTTGTCGCAGAGGTACTAGAAAAAAGCTAAGCATACATGCGTTCATACGGCGTTAGAACTCACTGGCTATTTAGCAAATTGTCAGTCCATTGCTTCACCAGCTCCGTTTCGGCGTAGTGGTGTTCGTCGAGTTGAATATACTGGGGTAGATTGGGGCCGGGGTAATATGTTCGAGTCTTTGAGTCGCTGTGAACATAGTAGTTGTGACGATAACTACGGCGGCATCCTAGAACAGATGTGAGATGTATAATTTAGCAGAAGTATGAAGAGCGTACCTGCGCACGTCAGGTTCACAACCTTTGTGAACTTGACGCCGCCGTTGAGTGTTAATATTATGGCCCGGCCCATCTTGTCATAGTCGCGCATCTCCACGCCCTTGTTGGCATGGCCGCACTGCGAATTCGTGCACGTAATAGATGGCGGATATAATGGTGTTTTGCCTGGAATCCGTGAGGAGAGCGTCGGAATAGAGTGCTATGAGTTACTCACATATGCCCTTGTCCCACCCATGCTCTGCGTACTTTTCATCTCTGCCTCGTTCTCGTTCCTCGAGTGGTGCAAGTGACCATATGAGGTCCCGAAGACCCCTACACATAACAGGAATGTCCTGTATTCAAATAGACGTGATAACAGAGAGAAAGAGCTGGTGGACATGCGGCAAATAGATTGGCGGGGTAGAGGCTGTCGACTTAGAGGTCGGTTGGATCATGCTGATATCTTGGCGAAAGTCACGACAGCATTCGATAAATGCTGTGATCTGCTCGTATTCGAGCTGCTCGAACTGGGGGTACTCTTGGACAAGGCGGGCTATAACGCCGGCGAACATAGGGAATGTGAATGGGATGTAGATAAGATAATGTACAGGAGGGCTAGGATATCTACGCGACGCGGCTAGATCACATGCGGTTGACTTTGTTTAGGGACCCCGCAACCGTACCGTACCCGCCGGACTTGCCGGACTGCGTCGCAGCTCGCGCAGCGCCAGACTTCCGGTTTCAACGCTTTTCTGGCGAGAATGACGTCCAAATCGGAAGACCGTTTTTAAGTTCACTGGATTCCTATTTGGGAGAATACTTTCGTAAGAATTGCAGCAAGAACAAATTTCGGCTCAAGCCTCACATTAACCCTTGCGGGAAAATTGTTTGTTTCTTTCCGGTGCGTCTCGTTCTATACGCTAATTTTGCTTCAAACAACTTCTTGACCGCATCTCGACCCCCACCTTGATGCCCACGATGGCTCCCGCAAAGGCAATGATTTGGGTACGCTGCATGACGGAGGCTAATTGCACCCTTTGAACGGTAACATAGACCAAGTTCCCAACATCATCTAACAGGTCAACGTGTATACAACACTGCCGCTATTTCAACCCCTTCAGTTGTACTTGGGCTTTTTTATTTCCCTACAAAGTTATACCCCATCTGGCTATGGACCTGTCTTTCGAAGGAAATATCTCATCCAGCGACTCGGAAGTCTTCGAAGCGCTGATCTGTTATCACCGAGATCACCAGGTGCCGAAAGTCCCGAGACGCGTTTGAGAAGTTTACTCTGGAAATGACAGCGCGTCAGCCTTCTCAGCTGTTCGCCGCATTCCGCTTGACATCCTCTCGGAGATCTTGCGCTTCTCGGTACGACATCGCCAACGTGCTCGAACTTTATGATGACGCTCTGAATATCACTCGGGTGTACCTCAGATGATGCGACGTCGCTCCTGGACATCTGTGTCTTGTGGAACACCTGCAGGCTGTCCTATCATGGAACTACAGCTGGCTCAACCGAGGCTTGGAGGTCTCTCAGTATCTCAGCAGGATAGATCCTTAGTCTCCGTATCACCTCGTCGCCCAGATCAGGAACCAGTGCGACGTGGCGGATAGCCACGATTCCAGCCGCCTTTAGCTCTTGGTAAGTGGTGCACCACGCTAGCCACTGGTCGAATTCTTGGAGATACCGACAAGATCCAGCTATTCGGACAGCGCAGGGAAGCACCCATATACCTGCAATACTGTATATGACGCTACCCGTCATCGGCTTTCTCTCCGGCAAGTTCACGGGGTTTTTGATCTGTCCTGGGTCCTTAATATGTCTCGGCCGCGCCTAGCTCACGCTCACGCCCAATAGCGAGCGAAAGCTGAACATATCCAGACTAGCTAGGTCTCTCCACAGCACCAAAAACCTCCACTTCTCCGTTAAATGGCCGATCCTGGCCATGAAATCCCCGTGCGACTTGAGGCGCGAGCCAGTCAGGCGTCGTTCCAGGTATAAGGTGATGCCCTCAAATTGCGCCAGGAAGGTCGCAAAAGCGCGTAAATAGACGACACGTATGACGTCGGTGCCGCTCCCAGTACTCGTATGATCTCCTCGTGGCATCCGTACTGCCATGCTTGACACATTCCCTCGCATTCCGCAGCAGAGAACGATGCGATCGAGCGGAAGACCCCGCTCTTCCAAGAAAGAGGGCGGAAGAAGGTAGAAGTACTTAGCTATAGTAACTCAGGTACGTCAGTCAGCGCCGAGGCTGAGATGTCGCTCAGCATGCCAGCATTGACGATGGTGGAAAGACGACAGTGTGCGAACCCGTGACGAAGGGTGTTGGTGGGTTACTGTCAGGCTCAAGGAAGGAGTACTACGCGCTCATTTACCGTCTTTAGTGGCCAACTCATTTAGATTCACTCGATATGCATACTACGCACTTGTGGCTACTCAAATTTCCTTGTCTTTTTCTCTTCTAAGGGTCGGGTTTCAAGATTTGCGGCGTATCATCGCATCAACCGTCAGTGTTCTCAACTTCGAGAGAAGTCAGAAGTCAGAATCAGCAGTCTAACTTCTATCAATGTATCGGGCGAAGGAGGATATCACAAACGCCAGGCTGGCGATGTACACCATCAATGGGATGAGTAACCAGCGAGAGCTGACCTTCACATGCCTACGACATATGGGATGCGCAAGGAGTTGTCTATGTACAAACACCGTTAAACGTTAGCTATATTGTTAGTCCGTTAATCACGTTGAGGCGTAAATCTATCATGTAGGAATCATAAACATTTCCATTCATACGCCTATCCGGGTATCCCTTCAACCCCAGGTATCGATCCGATCGCGCCGCCGGCCATTTCCCTCGCGCTACAGCACAAACCACGCGACCGACGACAAGGCTCCGAGGACCCACGTCCACCGTGACTCAAAGACGAGGCTGGTGGCGAGCCGGCGCGGTGCAGCATTACTCGCATTGCCCGAGATCATCTCCTCCTTGTAGACTTTCATCCAGTTGATGATCCACGACGCATTCTACCAAGATCCCCATCAGCATCTCACCCTTTCATATTCAGAAGAAACGAAAAAGTTTGAGAGGGTACTCACGACGAAGTTAGCGGGATCCATGATCTGCTGCTGGCACGTGCCCGGGCAGCCCGAGGTCGCGTACGAGTTGCCGGCCCAGTCGCCGCAGAAGGTGATGTCGAAGATGATCGAGTGGTTCATAAAGTAATTCGAGAGCTCGCAGCCCTCCGAGGAGAGCGCCGCGACGGGCTCGCCCCAACCTGATGGGTTCGGCTCCCCGGAGACGATGTCGGCCGGGACGGCGGAGCGGTAGAAGGACCCTTTGGGGAGGTTAGCGGGGAGTTGGGACGCGGGGTGAGACGATGGAAGGCGAATTCAAGGGGGGAAGGCGAAGGAAGAAGGCAGAAGAAGGGCGTATGGCAAGGAGGATATACACACAGACAGAGATCCCATCCGCGTTCCACTTCATCGCGAACACCCCTCCGCCAATAGAGTCGAAATACGGGCCATACGACGAGCGGCTCCATTCGATGATACCGCACCCGCCCTGGCCATTCGTCGCGTCGCAGCTCCAGTTGTCCACTCCGTTGGTTTGCTAACCGCCCGTGGGACAGAGGAACACGATAAGCCGTCAGACCAACGTATACAAGTCGGACTCTCGAAAGCACTTACGCCGATGGTGCCACTGAACGTGTTGGGCTGGGTAACGTTGCACCCTGGTGCGGTGTGCCACGTTACCTGGTTGTGCTCGTTGGCGTGGACACCTTCGATAATGTCGATCTCGCCAGTCTAGAGCATAGGAAAACACATGGTTAGCATTACTGCAGAAAACCTCGCTGCTCAGGGAGATGTGACGACAGAAATTGACGTACGTATGGCCAGGTCCCATCTCCCAGTGTCCTAGTTCCAAAATGAACATCAGCCTGCCGTCTTTGGAAGCCAGCCTCGAGAAGGTTCGATGACATACCACCACGCGGGCCAGACACCTATAGCCACAGCCCAACCGAACAGAAGATCAGATCGATTTTATCCCCAAATCCAAGAATAGCTCAAAGAATGGACTCACCGCAACCCCAAGGAGCTCGATCAACGTCAAGGATGAACAGGCCACCGTTGTATTGCTTGTAGCTTGATATACGGACGCTGTTGCGGTTGGCTCCGTACGCGAGCTGGGTGGTGTCGTCGCCCTTCATGATCACCTTTCCGTCGTCTTGCACGTAGGCGAGACCCGAGGAGAAGGAGTCGTTTGCGTCGAGGAAGCTGAATTATCGTCATAGGCCAAGTTTAGAACCCAGCAGTAGTTGGGTGTGCGGTTTGTGGAGTGTGGACGGGGAGGTACTCACTTGACGGTTCCACTGAGAGTGCCGTCAGTCAAGGAGTGACGAGCGGGTGGGTGGGAGGATGACGTACTGGGTTGGGTCGGGGCCGGTGTAGAAGCCAAATGCACTTTGAGCGATTAGGTGAGTGATGCTAGTGAGGGTACACACGAGTACTAATGAAGAACGCACTCGAAAAATGTCGAGCCCTGGTATACATCGTCTATGACCCATATGACTGTTGAGCCATTCGACAGTGTCTCGTAGTTCCCGTCTCTCTTCTCAAATGTATGATCAGGGGCAGCGAATGCCATGAGCGCACAGGCTCCAGCCGCGAGCAGAAGAGTTGAGCGGGTCATTACGGATCGTTGCACTTGGTGGTTGGGGGTCGTCAGAGGTCCAGGGAAGTTCGTGAATAGCAAAGCAAAGCAAGTTGAGAGCAAAGAGCAAGAAGTCGTAAAAGCACCGTCCGCAGACGAGAAGCAAGAGTATTATATACACCCTGTGGAGACAAACGCACCACCCGCGTGCCTAGGGCTTCAACGTGCACCGATGCCGAAATGAACCTGGAACGCAGAGCCTTTGCCAGCGGAGAAGAAAGGAAGAGGAGAACTAAAATGGATCCGGCGGGCAAGAGAAAAACGTGTTGAGCGAGTCTGTGCAGATCGACTGACAGACCATGCCGCCGCCGTGCGCAACGCAGTTGATCCTCGCCCAAACCAGGGCCAGAAAGTTGAACATGCCCACCGTCCGGCGCTTCGGCGCCCTTCTCCCGATCAAGTTGATCTTCCACGTGACGTTGGACCATCCGAAATGCTTCCGTCCCGACGGAGCGGGTCGGATGCCATGCTGTTGTCGCGCGACTCCAGACCTATGCTTTAAGTTTCACTCATGCTGGACGCTGCAGGGAATCGGATGACAGTCCTTCTTCCCCGGCTACCTGTGTAGCTGTGAAGCTTGATCCTACACCAATGACATGGATTCGTCTTCTATACTACATAAGGTCCAGTTTCATGGATGTATGTATTCCCAGGCAAGTCCTCGCTTTCCTTTGTCGAAGCTAACAAGATCGCGAAGACGATGAGATGTTGCAGAGCCGAGCGACATCAAGCAGCTCCTCGGATTCCCGATATACAATATTCGCGCTTCAAAAACCTCCATTGCGCTAGGAACTCGGGATACTTTCAAGAAGAAGTTCGAGATCCCGGGTATGCGGTAGTACGGGACGAAATGGATTGCGTATGGTAAGAGGCTGTGGTACGAGTAGGCCAGAGCCCAATCTGAGACTTTTTGATTTGGCTGATGGTGCCAAATCGCTGTGATGATCCATATGGGTACAGCGAGTACATATCACATCAGCAAATCTGCACAAACCTTTTTTAGCGAGATTAAACTTTGCGACAACTTAACGACGCTTATGCCCGATGGTCACCTTATACCGGAAATTGTTAAGTCTGAGAAACGTCGCCAAGTTCGGGCGAGGCTCATAAGTAAACAGAGTCTCGATTAGCTGGTTAAGTTCACTCGAGTTTGCATAAGTGTACTTCAATTCATGTAAGCTGTCGGTAATACAAGAAGAAGTAGTAATTTAATATCAATTCACGTCCACCGAAGCTATGTCGTGATACATGAATATTAAGCAATCTCGAAAGCGTGATGATCAACAAACTTGTTGAGATAGAAGCTTTTGAAATGGTCATACGAGTGAAAGCACTTTAGGTCCTCCGAGACTTCAGTTGTACCAAACTGAGGGAGGAGATGAGCCGCGCGTACGAAGCTGTCGATGTGGACGATGTCCACTCGAGGGGAGCCGTCGCGGTTGGACATGGGCTTCACGACGTACATGCCCGTGTTTTCGTCCCGCTCCTCCTCAGAATATTCGAACCAGTGGACGATGGCACAAGGGTAAACTGTCCCTCGGTACCGAAACGAGAAGAATGCGAGGACGCGAGCAATGTCCATCGCTAGCGTCCCCTTGATGCCGGAGTTGGTCATGAGGAAGGCGCAGTCGTAACGAGGTGCCTCGCCTCTCCATAGAGGGCAAGAGCGGATGCGCTCGCTCCTCATGCCCGACAATCCAAAGATGTCACTCGGGGCTTTGAAGACGGCGCGCGCGGAGTTGAAGACTTTGATGCGATCGGGAAAAGTCGGGCAGTCCCTGATGGGAACGGAGCGCAGCAGCACACGGGGATCTCGGGGATGGAGCTGGCCAAAGAGAAACCGGTGCGCGAGTCGTTCAAGGTTTGGGATCCTTAACTCATCCGCAAGGTCACCAACGTTCTTGGGACGTTCGGGGCCTGACGATGTGTGAGCATAGACACAGACACTAAGCCCGGGATCAGCTTACTGGGTCGCGTTGGAAGTGTCACCTCTGCAGATAGATCTGCTCCATCAACAGCTTCTGAATCCTCTGGGTTCTCATCGATAGATCGTGAACGTGGTTCTCTGAGAGAGAGACCACCAGATGATGCGCCGGCTTCAAGTTCCCCTGGGCCCCAGGTTCCGAGTGTTGCTGCAACTGGAAGAGACGTTAGAATGAGTCATGAACAAGCCCAAGATGAGAGACGTACGATCTTGGAGGGCTGCAAACTCGTCTGTGAGAGGCAAGATCATCCCCCGCTCCGCGAAGCTGCGTCGGCACGCCTTGAGTTTATCCAGCCGCTGGTTTGTGACAAGCATTTGTCCGAGCGCGTTGAAGCGACTGGACCAGCGCCAGGGTTCTTTCACCGCCTGAATGTGCTTTGACTCCGTGATGGAGGAACAAAGGCCGTTCGGGGCGCCAAATTGTCGGACTAAATAGAGGTAGTGTTGCATGGAGTGTTGACGTGGCAATGATACCGTTGCCGCGACCCCGTAGTCCGTGAAAAAGCTTCGATAGTGATGGAAACGGTCGAGAGCGCCCTGGATGTCAACGAGATCCTTGTCCGTGAGCGCATTGCGGCGGACGAGATAGCAAAACTCCAAAAAAGCGCGAAAAGTCCGTATGATGTCGTCGGGGAGATGACCCTCAAGCGCGGGGAGATAAACCTAAAAGATAATTAGCACGGGGAACATCGCACGGAGGGGCATTGCTACACACCTTCATCAACGCCTTGGAATCATCTCCCGTCCATTGCTTGAAGTCATGGCCTTCGGGGAATCGACGAAGACCGGCAAAGGGAGCCGCAACCGAGATCCTGGAAATGTGCAGGTGAGCGGGAAGTGTATCATAGCAGCAGAAAGAAGGGACATACCGACGATCAATATCGTCCATAATTTTCTTTGCCTCCGTCTTGCCGTGCACCTGGATGAGGTACTTCCCCACCCACTCGACGAGGTGGTCCTTAAATGTCCCCTTGATGAGTTGGTGGAGGATGTCGGGCGCGAGAAGTTCGTGGATGTCGGCACGGGGAAAGTCGCTGGTAAATGGCTGATGACGATATTAATAAAATATTCGGGGAGACAAAAAAGCAGACTCACGACGACGTTTGCAATAACTCCGTATGAATCCCATAACAAAGCTGGATGAAAATCTTCGACCAATGCGTCATCGTGTTCCTCGCAGCGCAGCAGGGCGTCGGCGTCATCAAGATCTTCGGGAAATGCAAGACAGCTAAGGAGAACCGATCAACGTTGAGTTTCAAAGGTGAATGAGGTAAAAGCTCACCGGGGGCACCAGCCTTGAACGACGCCGGCGAGCAGCACCTGCTCGGGGTAGTCTGCTATATAGGGCCCAATTCCCCATATCACCCATCGGTGATAGCCGTCGCCAAATTGAACCACCTCGTATCGTGTCATGCCGGACTTGAAGACGTCGAAGATGGTTGCGAGCGAGCAGTGGTACAGCTGGCGGCAAAAGTGGCGAAAGTGGGGGTCGGCATTGTATGACTTGTTCGCTGGATAAAAGGGTTAGTTTGGGGCTGCCGGAGTGAAGATATCCACGTACTTTTTGGGACGGACAGAAACCCGACGAGAGCGACGGCATCTTGATGAGCGCGTCGCGTGTTGTTGTGTACATTGCCAAGTGAGATGTAGAGAGGGTAGTACTCTGTATGTCCGGTAGCGACAGACACGGTGGTCTTATCGCTACCTAGGACAAACGGTACGAAAGTCGCACCGTGAGTGTCCGGGTCTTGAGCAATTTGGTCCTAGAATAACATGTCTATAAGCAGAATGAATAACAAAGGCGAGGATCACGTACAGCTTGGTCCCAAGCCCAATCGCCCGAGAAAAGATTCTCGTAATGACGGGTGCCCGATTCATCGTAGTCGCGGAAGGGTGTGAGGTCGATATGTTCTTGCAGGTCTGGCCGCGCTATCATATTCTTGAGGACTTCTCGTGGGTCACGAAACCAGACGTCGTATTTAGCCTTCATCCATGGGGGGACATAGCCGGCTGGTCGAGGGCCTTGATAGGTAATGTTGAATGATTGCCAGGGAATATGACCATCTTCAATGGCGTCGATGGCACTATACATTTTCGCGTGGTCGAGGAAGGGAGCGTTGAAGCCGGGGGGCATTGACGCACGCCAAATTTTGCAGAGCATGTCGATGTGTCCCGCAGACATCTGCGATTCCCGGTAAAGGAGGTCGGCAGTTTCGAACTGAAGTTGATTGTCGAATGGGAAGTAGTCTGTTGGCGGGCGCTGAGAAGGTGGCGACGGGGGAGCATCGGATGGAAGAAATTCTGCGTTGGGAGAACATTTTCGTGCTGTAGGGGACGTCAGAAATATAGACTATGAGAATACAGAGAACATACCAGTCAAAAGCTTGTGGAAAACACGTTGGATGGGCCCTAGGTCAGCGACTGCTCCAATACTATTGTCTTCGTCTTCATCTTCTTCCTCGGGCAGCTGTTCAGCTGGAAACAAGGGTGACCAAGGGAGTGGTGATGCGCGTAAGAAAGGCTGAGGGGATTGGGGGGATTGGGGGGGTGAAACCGGTCCCTGAGGAGACTGAGGCGGTGAGGGCTGAGGCGATGCTTGAGAAGACCGGCGTGATGGTGAAGAGGGCGGAGGTGGAGGAGAAAACGAATGTGGCGAAGGCAGTGGAGGGGAAGGAGGGAGAGGTTGGATGGAGTATGGTGCTGGCTGGTGGTGTCGGCGCTGGCGAATAATGCCCTGGTGGGCTGACCTGATGTGCTGAGTGTACCCAGACTCGTTCCGTAGAACGCGGCCGCATTTCTTGTAAGGGCAAACTGGCATGGTAGGGAGTTGGAAATTTTGGGGTGATAGGCGCGAGGAGTCTGACAAGGTAAGAAATGAGTTACGTTTGTGCGAGTCACCCGAATGCTCTGTCAAAACAATTCCCACCTTTACTTCCCGTTCCGAAATTTTTCGTTGCTGCCTTCTCCCGAACCACCTCTCCGAATCCAGATGCACTACTGCTCATCCCTCCATGTCCGACCGCCGCACCACACGCGCTGCTGCTCGCACCAATCCTAGCCAGGGTGAAGCTACCACTCAAGCAAAGGTACAAGCTCCAGCAAAGGTACAAGCTCCGACGAAGAAAAGACGGTCCCGCAAAGAAGTTGAGGAGGAAGCTCAGCAGCATGCTGAAGAGCAAGCCACACGTGAGGAAGAAGCAAAGGACAAGGTTGCCGCCATAGAAGCCAGCATGCAGCGGAAGCAGGTCGCCAAAGAGAAGCCGAAGCCGAAGCCGAAGCCACGGTCAAAGCCGGCAACGACGGAGACAACAGCGTCAGGTCAAGTTGGAAGCTTGCTGGTCGTCAACAAACCTGGCTCAGCGTCACTGGCAGCTACTCCAACTGGCGCTGACGCGCCTGCTGACGAACTTCAGGTTGATGCTACAGAAGGTGAGGTTTAGCTATCTGACTGTATGCTTTCGTCGCCACTAACCTTACACAACGACAGTTAACCATGGGCGCAAGGTGAGAAAGACAAGAGAAGAGCGAGCGACAACTCGCAAGGACATTGAAGCCAGACGCGGGCAGCACACCGGAGAAAACAAGGCAGCTGACCATCAGAAGTCGACCAAGAATGGCAATGTGAAGCCTGCCAGCATCATGTGAGTCCCGCCTCCATAACTCTTTCTCACCGACTGCCACCATCATTGATATATTCTGACAACCGTCTCACCATGCTACTCCAACTCTCCGAACTTACTCTACACTGGCGCAACCTCGCGCTCGAATACTACAGCCAGCCAAGGACCTTTCAGCTCAAGACCATTCCCCGCGTCGCCAGCTGGACTGCCCATGTCCCTGCCGACGCTCGGTCTGGGCTCAGTACTTCGCATTCTCATTTCATGACCTCTACCTCCAGCAAGACAACTGTTACAGCCACCACCTCCATATCAAGAGCAAGGTCTAAGTCCACCACATCCAACTCCGCCCCAACATCAAAGAAGGGCCAGCCCATCACTCAGGAGCCAGCCCACGATGACGCTGAAGAGGTTCCCAACATTCGCGATGATGACGACTCTGGCGATGTCCAACACGAGCAAAAGTTCATTGCGGCTCAGAGCGGCAGAGCCCGGGATGTGAGTTTTTATTCTATGGTATTGCTATGTTCGCTATCTGACAGAGGTTTAGAATGTAGTTGTCTCCATCAGCTGGCGTTCCCCCACTCCAGACCTTGGTCCACCTTTCACGCAACGCGAGCCGCTCCAGCCCCAGTCTGGATCCCTCAAGAGAACCCTCACCGAGGCTCTTGCCTCCGAGCCTGAAGATGATGAGGTAAGCATATCCGTGGTTCGAGTTTGAGAGCTATCACTAACTCTCCTGTCAGGCTCTTTCGAAAGAGGAGCCGTATTTTGAAGAGTCTCCCATCGTCTCGGAAAAAGTCGGAGGACAAGATGTCGAGGACGAGGACGAAGACGAGGACGTCAAGTCCAATGCCGAAGAAGATATGGATCACCTCAACGAGATTGGCTACAAAAGCGACAACATGGTTGAGGACGGCGATGAAGAGAAGATGAGTACTGGTGAAGTTGACGTCGGGGTGGACGAGAACGAACCACAAGTTGAAGACATGGACAAGGACAGGTCCGGGAATGGGCAAGACGAACCTCAGGATATAGAGGCCGCCAGCCAGGAGGAGCGCGGTGACGATGCGATGGATTTGCAGACCAATGAACAGGACAGCAACAACCTGGACGACGACGCCATGGAACCCGACCAGGATGTCCAGGCTATAGAATTGCCCTCGCCCAAGGAAATCCCGGCTCTGCGGAAGCTTGAGAGCCTTCCGCGCACGACTCATTCAGTACGTAGTCCGTTAAATTTACTTCAGATATTACTAATTGTTGTCCTTCAGATGCACGCGAGGGCGTCCGAGGCGCAGGAGCGCCCTCAGAAACGCACAAAGGTTATGGCCAAGGTTGTCGGCTCCACCACCCAGCGGGCCCCCTCGTCCAAGCCAACATCCTCACGTCGACCAGTTTCCCACCGGGCGGTCAGTGCGTCAACGACTCCTGATGCCGCTGACGCTGTCAAGGTCAACGCGCCCAGCAAGGGCAAGAAGTATTGTATGGATGATCTGCCATCTGGTGCTCGAGACGAGCGAAAGTTCTCTGGCGGCTTCATCCCCACTGTCTGCATGTACTACGGAGCCCAGGATTACGACGCCGTCTGGAAGGACGATGGCCTCCCGGAATTGCTGAAGAAGATCTGGCGCGTTATTTATGGCGCTGAAGTTCCTCCTGAATATCTTCCGGCGGTCATCAGTCTCGTACGTCGTGATATTTTACTTCTACTCCTGTAATTATCCTGATGCTTTTTGGACTTATAGACTCTCGATCGGCTATACCTTTGGCGGAACAACTTCAGCTCTACTGCTGTTTCTGCCCTTCTTTTCGTCTTCGCAGGCAGCAACATCATCGAGGAGGAGGAGCGCCTCAACTACTCGAAGGAGCTGCATGCTCAGAACGCATTCATCTACGAGAAGTTCGAGGACAGGCATCCCCTCAGCACCTTCCTGGGCTCGTACTTCCTCATGGTACTCTCGTGCCATTTCCAGGCTATCCAGGGCTTCGTCCGCATCTCCGCCTTGGCCAACGTTCACGAGCCGGATTATATTCCGTACAGGGCTGCTGCACTAGCCGCCGCAGCTGTGAGTCTCACGTTTTCCTAATCTGATCATAAATAATTGATATATTTGTAGTGCTGCCGAGCACTTGAGATGAACGTCGAGGGCAAGCTTGGGAACGTTGGTGGCGCGCTCGAACACACAATCCGTTCGGGATGCTCTGCGAACAGCGAAGGGTTCAGCAAGGCGAAGAAGTTCATGACCCAGGCCAATGCCGCGAGGAAGCCGCCAAAGAAGGGTAAGAAGACTGTGGCCAAGGGCAAGGGCAAGAAGAAGCAGGCCAACACCGGAAGCAACGCTGGCGACAGCGACGACGTTGCCGAGGCCCAAGCACCTGCCTCTCAAGCACCCGACGCTTCTCAAACCCCCGACGCCCCCGCCCCCGCCACCCCGCTCCCCTTTTCGAAGGACCACTACGGCAAGCTGGTCAAGAAGTTCTACCAGTACGCTGTCGGGATGGGTGAGGAGCGCATCATTGATGCCTTCGCGGCTTCCGGTGAGGTCATCCAACACGATGATTCGGAGAGCGAGGAATCCGAAGCTGACGGCACCGAGGGTCCGTCTGACGACGATTTCCTCGTGCTCAACTGTATGTATCGTCTTTTTACTGTCTGCACAAGCGTTGATTGTCATCTTTTGCAGGATCCATGAGCCAATTCCGCGTGGAGCGCTTCCCTGTCCTTCTATCTTGATGTCTTATCTGCACTTTTCTTCTCTTCCATGACTGCTTATCGAACTTTTGCAACACCTTACAACATATAGAGTCTCTTTACAGACCTTATAATCATCATAGACAGCTCTAGTGACACTCTTAGACACTCTTGGTTGTACTTATTAGGCCTTATAATACGATTTTCTCCCCTCTCCGGACCACGCGATGACGATGAAGGCTTGAATAAGATCCCCTCAGGTTACTCACAAGTATGCTTAAGTTACTCATAAGGCTACTCGCATCAGGCAGAACAGCTTGCCCTGTTACACGATAAGGCTAATTGTATTTCAAAAAAGTCACGGAAAAGGGGAAGGGAAGTGCATGCGTCTCTTATTCCAAGTAGGTTCAGTCCAGATCACAAGCCGGCGTCAACTTATTAATGGCCTCCGCGCTTATTCGGGACCTTTTGAGCCGCGTCTCGCGATAAGTGGCCGAATAAGGAAGGTGCAGAAATCCTGATGCATTTTGCTCTGATTCTGGGCAATTTTTAATTCGTCGCATGACACTCCCTTGAAAAGCTACGCATTCTCAACCGGGTGGAAAGCAAACTCGGAAATACTAATACCTCCTTGGGCCCTGAAAAAATCTGAGTCTAGCTTCTTATCTTCAAAGTGTGCGACTTCTTTGGTTTCATGGAGTCGCACCTCGTTTTCTTTGACCTCCCCTAATGTTTCACCCACGCAGCTCCGTCTCTCATGAGCACTAGCTAAGCAAGGGAGCCCGGAATACCTCAGAAAGGTGTTGATACAGCGATTATTGCAATACCCCAGCACCACTTCGACGCACTTGCAAGCAACTTGCAAGTTGTGAATTGTCTCCCCGTTAGATCTCAGGGGCTCTCGGCGCTACCGATATTCTTGGCAAGGTTTCGCGTGATAACAAATATTAGTCCTATTCATGCTGGAAGCTTCCAGCTTTATGTGACTGTACCAAGGGTCGCCCCCGCAGTTTCTCGCTTCTTCAAGAATCTACGCGGCTATTTCCGAGGGGACTTGCTATGTGGGGCTTATCGACTTTTCTGTCTTGCGTCTAGCTCTACAGAGTCGCCGCTGATAGCGATTCACCCACCACCACACATTCACGATGTATCGCATGCTGCATGCTGAAGGAATTCAAGGGAGTGTCAATGAGGTGTGTTCGTCATTCCGTGACTTAAGATCCTTGTATATATATTGAGGAACCACTCGCGTAGCTCACCGACAGATTGTCCACGTCCATGTCTTTCACCGACAGACTTCCACTTGAAATGCTATCAAAGATTTTCTTGGAATCCCTCGAGTCAAACATCGCATTTCTTAATCGTGACTTCGTACCATCCAAACAAGAGCTTGCTCGGCCGCTCATCTTGGCTGCGGTGTGCAAAGGATGGCGAGAAGCTGCGCTCTCTACTCCTCAGCTATGGAGACACATCCATATTACCGGGTCAAACCCGTCTGGCCAGCGCATTGTGCAAACGGCGACAAGAGCCGGGTCCCTTCCCTTATATCTCTCTATCTACCTGAGAGACAGTGGGATTTTCTCTCGATATGACATCTTCAACACGGATATCACAAGGAAAATAAAGGGGTTAGATCTCTCTATCGGAAAGGCATACTCAACTCGCGATCACTTTCGAGAGGCGAGGAAGAGCCGACCGCCGGTCAGTGCCGCATGGCTGGAGGGATTTCCTAATTTGCAGCGCCTATTTCTGGGGTTGTCCATACGGGTGGATGATCCGGATTCTTCAGGTTTCTGGATGCACCTCACCCACATACACGTCCAGATCCAGGGGGACGGCGACACCGAAAGCAAGAATGTTACCGGGCTCCGCCTGCCTCATCTCACATCCCTCATCATTGAATCAAACAATCGCATCGACATTGAAATACCCACGCTTTTGCTTAATCTCCCAAGTCTTGTGGAGCTATGTGCGCCAATTGCTGGACCCGACCTCTGGTCTGATTTCTCTGCCCCTGACGAAGATCACATCCATCATACCCATCATAATCTCAAACGTGTGTGCATCGACGTCCTCTACGGCAGCAGTTTCTTCGACGTCGCTATACTTCCCTCTCTAAGAGATCTTACGGTTTCGGCAGCAAGCCCTGCCAGCATCAGAAACGTAATAGATTTGCTAGAACGCTCCAAATGCTGCCTCCGCCGCCTCGCCATCATATCATCCGACTTCAATGTGTGCCATGGAGACAGCGACAGTGATGCTATTGACATGGGCGACGCAGATTCCGCGTCATACAACTGGGACACGGTTTGGGAAGAAGAAGAAGGCGACATTTGCTTTGACAAAGAAGGGTACGATCGAGCCTGCCAACGGATCGAAGACGAACCGAAGGAGTACGACGTTTATTACGACGGTGAAGACGACCATTTCAATCGCTATGTTCCCCGTGACAGAAGTGAGACCTTCATTGATCCCGATCGCTTTGAGTATAGCGAGTATCACTACGGCGAAAAGCTGGTGGGACTCGGGAGGCTGATGAAGCAGAGGTTCGATATCCCGATCGTGGAGTACTCGCCTTCGGTGTCAAGGACTGGTTTATTCGAAGACATCAAGGCGCGTTGGTACGAACATGAAGGGCAGTGAAGAGCGTACTTGATAAAATGTTGCGATTTGACCTGTATTTGTACGATAATTGTTTTGAACAGATCTAACTAACGTTAAGTCGCTAGTAGTATGTAACGCTTCAATGAGGACACCGGGGGAGTCGGACTACCGCTACATGTTATCTCGAAGCTTACTACTGTAGTAACATGGAGGGACGTTGATTCAGGTCACCAGGTGTCAATGTTATCTCAATATGATGACGTTTGGTGAGCTTATGGACTCTCTGCGCACAGCCTACACACAGCCATTCCTATAATGATCATAATGATTAATCACCACTGCTAGGTCGCTTGCACAGGTGCCCGACCGAGACGGACCGGCATGTTCCGTGGAGGCAGGTCAAGTTAGCCGCCCAATGGTTCCGAACCTCACTCTTTTCCCGCTCGTTCGGACCCGTCCAGACTTCGTCAGGGTAAAGTCGCCTACGACATGCCACGCCCCATAGAGGAGATTCATACCATAGCACGTCAGCTCTTCGCTCGTACCAACTACCTTCCAAGCTGACTTGTGCTTGGACCAGCTTCCGGCTCTCTTCGCCCATGCAAACGTATGTCTATCAGTACATGCACAGCATTGTGGATTTTCTGTTCCTGTACGTTCTGACGCCCTATTCCCACACAGAATGCATCCCGGTCGCGCTTCAAACCCTTCATGGGCACCAATTTCAACGCTTCTTCACCCAGAGACCGACATGAAATCCACAAAACCCTTCGCCATATAGGCGGTGCCATTCACGAACTGGACAGCCTAATTGGCGAGCTGGCGGCGTGTCGAGACAGGCTCGCTCGTTCACAGGACGAGTACAGGCGGTTCGTGTCCGTTCTTGGACGTCTTCCCATTGAGCTGCTCTCCCGCATCTTTGAACACCTCGTGCCTGACCTATCTGCTGGTGGGGCGCACTTCACGAGGGGGAGGAGATCCGGATTTCCGCCCGAAGGGAGAAAGGCCAAGCTGAACGTGGCACAGGTCTGCCAGCGCTGGCGCAGCGTTGCACTCAGTGTCACCCCGAGGTTATGGAACGTCATCTACATGCGGTGGGATACGGATTCGTTTGGCACCAGTCGTCACTCCAATCCCGCCAGCCCCGAGTCCAATCTTGCGCAGAAGCTTGATCCAAAGCTCGCTCTCCTACAAAGGTGTGGTGCATATCCGGTGTACCTCTGCGTCGACGTGTTGGTGCATCACGGACTTAAGCAAATGTTCGCTGATGCGCACGGCACAAGCTCGCGTGAGCTGCCGGCCTTCACGGACGCATGCGCGAATGGGTACCTGGCGGATTTCCAGATGCAGTGCCGCGCCCTCGAGATCAACTCGCACCATTTCGTGCGCCACGATGCCATCGAGCCGTGGCTCGCTGGATTTTCTAATCTCGAATACTTGTCCCTGTTCGACTGGAGCTTCCGCTTCCCGCTTGACACCACTCAGAACGGGCCATACCGCAACCTGACGCATCTCCACGTCGTGTTTCACGACGGCGAAAACGCGACCCGGTTTGTCAAACACAAGTGGGACCGCATCAAATGCCTCGTCCTCGCGAGTAACGGGCTATCGGTCGACGTCGCACGGCTATTCGACAACTTCCCCTCGCTCGAGGAGTTCTTCCTCGACGATCCCGCGCTCGACATCTCCCCCACCCGCCGCACGTACAGCACCATCCATGACGGCTGTGCTTTCCATCCCAAACTCCGCACGCTCAGCCTCGCCGTTTCGCCACACGAGTCGATGGACGGGGACGGCAGCAGCATCGCCTCCGACCCGAACCAGAAACAGGACTTCCTCTGCCGCACGCTCAACCTTCCGGCATTAACGGAGCTTCTCGTGCAGATGCCCTCGCCCAATGATGTCACCTGGCTGCTGTCGTTCCTCGACAGGTCCGGTTGTGCACTTGAGCGGCTGGTATTTCTGAACCCATTCTTGATACCGCGGTGGGAAGATATTGTGGAGATGGTGCGCGATGAGATGGGGATTCCATGTGTAGAAGTGGAGAAGGATTGGGGGACAGCGCCGGCGTTTGTGCAGTGTAAGAGCAGATGGTATCAGCAGATGTAGTGTTTGGTTGACTCTTCGCATCGTTACGCACAACTGTGTATGGCGCTAGCGCTACCTCAATACCCTGCGTGTACCTGCATATTCGACGCGCTAGAAAAAATATGAGTGTTGTAATACCTACGCTTTTTCTGATTAATAATACAAGCTGACCGAGCATATACCGCAGTACCTGAATCTAGGCATTGCACTTACCATACTTTCCGCCGCCACTTTCACGATGCTTGCTTTGAGCCATCCTAAAGTACCTCAGTATGCAGTGTAGTCCCTTCCAATCCCCTGTGCATCTTTTGGTGACTATTCAAGGTTTTGGCTCTTCACTGGGCCTACAAGGGCGAGGATGCAAAGTACAATGAGTCCAATATGGACGAGGAGATTGGGGTAAAGTGGTGTCACGCTGGAACAAGCGCTAGGCCTATAGGCCAAGCGAATACGAACGACCTGTAAGCATCAGGGTTCTTTTATACAGGTCATACACCGCTGATACATCGATACCCGTTGTGACAGTGTGTCAGTTGAGGCTTTGAGGTCGGGATGGACGCCGAGCGCGATCAGGATGGGCCAGGCACGAAGAGACTACAGGCGTACCGCCACCCATATCTCACGGTCATTCATCAAAGAAGGTGCGGGCCGACATCCGAATGACGACAGGCTCGCCAAAATCGTTGACTCCGAATAATTATTCAGAGCTGAGGTCACGCTATCTGATTACTCTTACCCTCTTTCCCTTGCTTGCTCATCCCAGGCATTCGGCCTTTCCCTCTCTGTGAGGGCGTTACCCACCCCGTCATTGCGCTTTATAAGCCACACCAGCCCTCATCGATCCCTCGCCGACCTCCCTCTGACTCGCATCACCTCCCGCTCAGAAGGTCTAAAATCAATTGAAAAAAATGTCAAGCGTTCCATCACAGCACTTCCTCTCACTTCCCCGTCCCGACATCGTAGTCGGGCCACCAACTGGTGTACCAGATACCTCCACCACCGCTGCCCATGATTTCGATATTCACGGTCGGACAGGCTTCATGCCTCCCGATGAACCCACCCAGCAGCTACCGATCGAGTACGCTGTTTGGGAGTGCTTACTAGAAGAAGCTATCGCATTGCCTTTGCAGCGCGGTACCAAGGAAGATATCACAGACGACGAGGTAGTGGCGAACGAGCGATGGCGTGCACAAGTGCGCGAGGTGCGTTCATCTGTTCCCTATGTTCATCTCCATCCATGCTCATCTACATGGACGGACTACCAGATGCCCGTTCTATCGCATGAGCTCCTCGTTGGATCTGAGCATCTCCTCCGGCGCGGTCATCATACCCTCGCTTTCCTCCTCCACTTCTACGTCAACTCGCTTCCTCCTACGACTCCCATTGCCATTCCCCGATCGCTTGCCCTCCCCATGCTTAGAGTCTCGGAAGACCTGCAGCTTCCGCCTGTCCTTACCTATTCTGACAACGTGTTGTACAACTGGCGCCTGACGGAAGAGCCAGCCCAAGAAACCGCCAATGCCCATGCCAGATCTCGCTCAGACGACTACAACCCATTCGGGCTTGTACCCGCCGACGAAGATGCCTTCTTCCTCTCAGCGGCCGACGACAATCCCTTCGGCCTAGTTTCCTCGGACCCTATTGAACCCGGATCTCCTTTACCGTCCTCATCTTCTACTTCCGTCCCGCGTCTCCCTACCCCCTCCACCGTGACCTCCATCCACACATTTAGCGGCACCCACTCCGAAGTCGTATTCTACCTGGCCTCGCAGCGTACAGAACTCCTCGGCGCACGCGCGCTCTCGCTCATGCAAAGCACGCTGGACGAACTCTTCCTCTCTGACGCGCTCGCCTTCCGCCGCATCACTCGCTACCTCTCCCTCCTCTCCGATGTCATTGCCGACATGTCCGGCGCGATCCAGGGCGTACGGGATGGATGCGATCCGCGCGAGTTCTACGAGGAGATAAGGCCGTGGTTCCATGGCCAGCAGCCCGGACGGGAGTGGGTGTGGGAGCTGAGCGATGAGGAGAGGGAGACGATCGAGATCTCGAAGGATCTGAAGGGTCCGAGTGCGGGGCAGAGCGCGCTCATCCATGCGCTGGATGTCTTCCTGGGTCTCGATAACTGCGCGCATAGGGAGCGGAAGGAAGGTAGCGCTGATGAGAAGAACGATCCTGGCGCTCTCCTGCGCGACATGCAGAAGTACATGCCCCGCCACCACCGTGCGTTCTTGCGTCACCTTTCCGCATCGCCACGTCCGCTCCGGGACGCTGTGGAGGCGCGTGTTGAGACAGTTCGCTTGGCACATGATACTTCGGATGAGGAGAAGAAGGACGCAGAGGAGCTCTTGGATGCGTACAACGACGCCGTGTCAGCCGTCAAGGCCATGCGCGACGCGCACATCCGCATCGTCGCGACATACATCATTGGGCCAGCTGCCCGTGCTCGGGAGCGTGCCCAGGCCCGCGAGGAGGGACGAGTAGAGGGTGCGGCGAGCCGTGTAGATACCACGGCGCAGGAAAATGGCAAGCTCAGGGGTACGGGCGGGACGGACCTCGTTCGGTTCCTCAAGGGTGTGCGGGATCAGACTGCGCGGGCGGTCATTGCAGGAGAGAAGCGGTGATAGAGAATTGTGTTATTTTTATCAGGTATTTAGGCTTTGTGACATATGCATACATCAGACGGAAATTCCCAACTCATGATGAAACGCGGGATGACGATGCGTGTAGTTCTGTGATGTGATTGGAGGGTCTCACTCAGCTCTCAAGCTCAAGTCCTCGGGCTAGGGGGAACAAATTGATGATTTGTCACCTACTTCCCGTCGATGGCCCTGACAAGGTCTGAGTCGGTCTCGCACGACGCGGCGGCGAATCCTTCGGATTACACAATTCGCACATAGCTACGAGGGATAACAGCAAGCCTGAACTTCTAGATAACGATCCGTACACGATAAAACATCTCTTATTGTCTATGACGTTCTAGGAGATGCTTCTCTGATGCTCATAGGGTTTAATTTCCAGAGATGCAAGAAGAAGTCACCCCCGTATTTTTTAACTTAGAGGAACTCGTTATGACAGCCTAGGGGCGGACACGTATCTATCACTAAATATCAAAGGTCGGGAGAATTATTGAACGTCCGAACGTTCTATTTGGAAACACTGACATTTTTATGTTGTCCTCGACTAAGAGGCATTATAGGTCGCATGGTAACATCGTTTGACCGAGGAGGCCGATAAGTCTCTTTCGGCATATGCCGGCGGAGCTCCAAACTACCCTCTCTTGGTCTCCGATAAACGTTTAAACCCCGCTCCATTTACACCAACTCAAAAACGCCCGACATGCGCTCGGGCCTCGAGTACCGAGTTCCGCCTTGTTCCACCACTACCTCAGGAGCCTCCAGAGTGCAATCAGTCCGATCGCTTAATCTATAAGTGCATCAACTTTCTCAAGAACAGAGTGGGATCACCGTCAATGCCGGTTCTATGCCTTACTCAGAAACATCTTCAGTGACCTGACCGCGTGCATTGAGTTCATAACTCACTGCGACAATCAGGTTCAGCAAAATCCCTCACTGGTGAGAGCTGCATATGTTAAACCATACCTTGGCTCCCAATGAGGAGTGGTTCGCTGAGTGGTAAACCGATAAGATGGGCACTCAATGACTCATCTGCACATTAGTTTGAAACACGCGGCTAGACCGTGGCTTTTTGGTTTGCGCACAGCTTTGCTTTGCGTATTGCAAGGGATCACCACGTATACTTGATCTTCTTCATCTCAAACTGACAGCGGTCTCCGGGAGCTTGCCATAGCCTATCGGCAATATTTTCTGGATGGAAGAGCCCTGGATGCATGTGAGTCCACTCTGCTTCTTTACGCCAATTGCTACCAACGTAACTACCTCACAGCCTTCTTGAACCCAAACTATGAATAGTTCTGATCAATGAATGTACGCATACATGCGAAAATTGTTGAGAGCGCGATCGAATGGGAAGTGATGGATCAAACTTTGTGGAACCGTGACCCGGAGTTACTTGTTCTAGCTCTTGTCCCTCTCCATTGTAGGCAATCGACGAACTTGGTCAAGCAGAAACGCGAGGCTATAACGCGGACTCACAACAGCCTTTCCCCCTTGGGATCGCCTCGTTCCTTCGCCCTTTGCTACACCTTCGCAGGGAGCACGTTCCGTCCAGGCCTGCTACATCGATTCGCCCAAAGGATTCGCCATGGCTCAAACGATCGCTGAACTCATGTACGCGTATCATTGACGTACAACGCATCCTCTTCGCTGATATGGATCGTATAGCCAAGGCCCGTTCTTCATCGGGGTGATGATCAATATCCTACTCCTCGGAGTTCTACTTCTTCAAGTGTACCTCTACTTCTCCAGCTACAAGAAGTATGTTCTATGCCACTCTGCATCATACAATCCTGACGCCTAATTTAGGGACAAATTTTGGATGAAATTCTTTGTACGCTCCCCATCGTGCCATTTTGTCTACGTGTGTCTCATCCCCCGTCCAAGATCTGGGTTCTCTTCATTATGGACATAGTCAACACGGTGTTCTTGGTGATCTATGTCTATGGCCGACTAATCGTTGATTTTGGTGAGCCAACAATGTTAAGCAATCGAAGCGTTCTTAACATCCTATTCCGCGTACAGGCAATGAGACGACCATAGCGACCGAGAATTGGGGTATGTGCTTACGCTCCACCGTTGCTAGTATCCCGTATTGACGTGGAACAGTCTTTTCGATAGGTGCATTGCCCACTATACGAGCGCCTCGGCATGGGCTAACCAAATACGCTGCTTAGATCCTATCTCAGCAGTGGGTTCATATTCAAATCGCTATGAATCTAAGACCGGTGCTAACCCAAAGTCGTCACGGCAGGGCATCATCACGGCAATGGTACAATGTTTCTTTGCGTGGCGCGTCAAGGTCATCACGAATAACATATGGGGTGTCCTAGCCATTTGCATATGTGCTCTCGGCAACTTCAGTACGCAAACACCGTACTTATTTAGCGATTGCTCTGACTTAACGTCCGCTTGTTAATTGGCACGTAGCCGGCGCGCTTGCATCGTGCATTTATAGCACTTTCCGCACCAGCTTCCTCGAATTTCAGACGTTCGAAAACGTCGTCATTGTCTGGTTGGCAGCTTCGGCGCTTGGAGACATCATTATTGCCACCGTTCTGGTCAAGCATTTGGTGCGTGACACGACATTGACACACCGTGAGCCGCCAAGGCTGAATCTGGTTTGAAACACAGCGTTCTCTCCGGACGGGATTCGCCGCCACCGACGATATTGTAAACAAGGTGATCAGACGTATGTCGCATTTCCATCATCTCGGGGATTCAGCATCTGACAATGATTCCATCAACCACGGACCCGCGCAGTCACTCTGCAGACCGGTCTTCTAACGGCGATCTGTGCGTCTATCAACTTGATCATATTTTGTGCCGATGTAAGTCCTTTATCAACGGATACATGGAATATGCTGAATGTTAGAACATTGGTTGCGTCATAGACTTCCGGGGTGTGAGTATTAAGCTTCGTGTCCACACGAGCGAAATTGACCTGGAGACAGTTACTTGATCTTCAACATCCCACTTCCGAAACTCTACACAAATTCGCTTATGTCTAGCCTCAACTCGCGTAAAGGCGGTGGATTTGATTCATCTCAGCGTTCTGGCAGTGCGCAGATGCTGTCCGGCGGGCGGGTAAGCCATCACCGACGTTTTGCAAATGCTCTTACACAGGCTGACCATGAATCATGATCTGATGCGCAGGCCGGCCAGGCCCAGTCAGGTCCCCAGGTTTGTGTTCACCGTCTTTTCCCAGCCTCACATGGTGGGTGCTTCGAGAAGCTCAGAAAGCTAAATTTACACACAGGTGGTCGTGAGCGTGGAGTCGCATGAGCTGAAAGAGGTCAGCAGTCCAGCCGCGGCGGACATCAAACACGGTCGTGGCTCGGACGAGGCGATCGCGCCTTTCGGCGGTGTCGCCAGTGGGTACAGCGTCCACCCGTTTGCGAATCCTCAGGGTGGGCAGCAATGGAACACAGGGAAACCGGCAGGGTTTGGAGATAGTGTAGCGGTATAACTCGTATTACCAGGTTTTGAGGATGACTTTGTACAGAATTTTACCCAAGACCCGAGTTCGTTCGTTCCTTCAAACATGTTTTACTTTGGAATGAGAGGCCTTTGTATTTTACCCTCGGGGCATACCAAAGAGCATTTTGACCACGAAGGATGTATGATGCAGTACTTCTGATAGGAGGGTAAAAATGCTAATAGAACTCGTTTTCCTTTGGCCTTCGACAAGAGGTAAGAGGGATTTCTACACAACATGGTTTGCGAGTTTATCAACGCTTAGCGTCAGCATGGATTGGAGTAGCGAAAGTGAGCCCCTCCGTCATCGCAAAACAGAAGCCTGTCAGACGTTGTTCGCTTCTGCGCAGATACCACATAGATGCGTTCTTCAAGGGACAGGTCAAATTCTTCCATCGCCTGTTCAGAGATTAATACTACATTAGTGAGTGAACCACATGATGATATTCGCTTTCTCTATGAGCCTGCTCCGTGAGCACCCACTGCAACAATACAACCATCTCCTGCTTTGAGTTTTATTGGTTTTAATTAACCATGTGAGGGCTGTTTCAAGTCGACTTGAGCAGTGGGGACAGTTACTGTGGGGTTGACTGGCACCCGAGACCATGAAAGTGACATCGTTGTGCCGACGGTACTTTTCAAACTCCGCCTATCCGTGAGAACGTGGAAATTCAGGCGAGGTAGAAAGCTTGATTGATCGTGTTGCTTTACCTCACGCTCATCCCCTACTCACATCTAACATCTCCTCTCTTACGACAAGGCACCCTGCCCAAGACTTAATCGCGTCCTCTGATACCGTGTGAGCGGCTCATGGTACCTCCGGCTCTGTCCCGGACCGCAACACCAACGACGTGATAGTTTTATCTCAAGGTGAGCGATCACGAGGTCTTTGGTGCACCACCCACCACATGTTGAAGAGCTATCCATAGGCCTGACATACTGAAGAGTGCTTTGAGGGAGATCATATGCGGAGGAAATGCACTCTCGGAACCGATGTCGGCTCAGCTATCATCCTTGCTTTGCCACGAGCCCGTTCTGGCATTGAGCGCGCTCAGTGGCAAAGCGAAGATGGCAGAGAGCACGTACACTCGCACATCAAGCGGAAAGAGTTCGGGATACTCACGCCCTTGTCAACGGAAGTGTCTCCGGTATCAACGACCGGTGTCCACAATCTAGTGATCTCGTGTTGAGGCAGCGAGCTTCTTCAGGACCGCCGGGCCGCAAGGCTCCTTCTCAGTTTGTCTGTACGTACTCATTCTTTCACGGGCTGCGCAACACTTGACGAGACCCATAGTCACAGGGTGACCCTACTACCAATCGACGCACTGAATCCCTGCGTGCCGACGCTTCTTGACCATAATCAGCAGTATGCTCGCGCGGCTACCGCTGAATAGCATGCATGCATATAACCTGCACAAAGCTGGTATCTTCGCTCCCCCGCGTCGTCCTTCCCAATGGCAAAAAGCTTCGTGATGTTCGCGATTTTACCCGCGCTTGCAGTCCTCGCTGCCACAGGGGCTCAGGCGCCGAACTCCACTTCTGGACGTAAGTCTGCAATCGATCAGTTGTTCGGCGTCCCACTGAAGCAGGCTTGCTACGTAGTCGTCCAAAAGAAATACGAATACCTACCTCTGGGTGCTATCAAACCAGCAGGATGGCTGTACGATCAGGTAAGTACTAACTCATGGGCACGTTATCGGCCATGTCGTCTCATCAACTTTTACGCGAAGGTGATGGTCCAGACGAACGGACTCGGTGGGAACGAAATGAACTTTTACGACTAGTACGGGACAATTTCTCCTCGTTTGCGGATGGGCTTAACCTATTCTTCAGCGTCAATGACACAGATTGGCTCAATGGAACTTCATACTACTCCGACCTCGAAGAAGGTACGTGATTAGTCACTGGTTTATAACTGTAACGCTTACTCCTCTTTACCTGTAGCCGCAAGTTATTGGTTTGTGGGTCCCTTTTTTCGCTTGTTTGATTGAGAGCTGAACAACTGACTTGTTAGAACGGCATCGTACCAAACAGTATCATAATCGACTCGGCTGAGCTACAAGAGCAAACTAGGTCGTTCATGGACTTCGTATTCGCCAATCAGGATTCATCGGGCTGGATCGGACCTGAAGTCTTCGATCTCACCAAGCCTCGCTATCTTTGGGGAAGGTATGTTTCGATTTCAAGTGTTCCAGCCTCTGTAAGGTTCATGCTTACGGACCGCAGATACCTATTCCTATTCGGCGTGATCCAGTTGATCGAATATGACCCATCCATTGCCGATAGTGCCATCCCTCAGATTTGGAAGTTCGTTGAGCTCGCGCACACAATGTTGCAAAACAACGAAGGGATGGACATTTGGGGCCAGACGCGGTGGGGCGACTTCGTGATGGTGCTCGAGTGGCTGTATGAGCACTACCCCAACGACAACGAGGATCTGCTCGTTGACACCATGTCCCTACTTAAGGCGAACGGTACCAGATGGGACGAGGTGCTCTCTCAGTCGGTCTTCCCCACGGTGGCAGTCGAGAACTTGCCGAATCCGTTCAATAACCCACTCGTATGGCATGGCGTGAATATGGCTGAGGGCTTGAAGTCCGGAGCGGCGGCATACCGTTATACGCACAACGAGACTTGTAAGCCTTTCATCATTCATGCATTCACTGCTTTACGGAAGGACATATTTAGTGTTGGATCTCATGAGCAACGGATGGGACCTGCTCTTCGAATACCATGGACGTCCGTCGGGTATCTTCGCAGCTGACGAGCACCTCGCTGGTTTACAAGCTATACGAGGGTAACTTTTTTGCTCGTGTCTTGCTCTTCCTTTGGCTAACTATCCCAACCCCTTCCTGGCAGCACTGAACTTTGCGTCATAGTGGTAAGCTCATGAAGGTCAGCGGAGTTATGGTGTACTGAGCGTACCCCTTATACAGGAAACCATGTTTACGTGAGCGCGTTAATCGCTTAATCGCGATGTGTGCATCGGGGCTAATATTGCATAGCGGATCCTACCTCTTCCAAGTCAGCGGCGATACCAAATTCGCTGACCGAGTAAGTTCGATTTTGTCTCAGTCAATACTGTGTGCTTATGGCATCCAGGCCGAACGGATTGCATATAATGCTCTTCCCGCCCAACTGACTGGAAGTAAGTATCAGAATATATTAGCTGGGTATGTTGCCGACGTTATACGCAGCGATGTGGTCGCGGCAGTATCTGCAAGAGCAAAACCAAGTTGCTGCTCGAAACATGACCGAGTAAGACAACCTTATGTGCGATGGTTTTCACACTAATGACATTGTTCAGCAACCCCTTCCCCTCGGACGGTCCTTACTCCAACGTGTTTGGACTTGAGCCCAACTATCCGTACGTTAGTGCCATTTTTCGCCTTCTCGTGCTGAACGAGCTTGTCTTTCAGCTGCTGCACTGTCAATCACCCTCAAGGCTACCCCAAGTTTGTCACGAATGCGTTCGTTACGACACCTGACAAGTCTTCGCTTGTTCACGTCTATCTGGGACCGTTTGCAACTCAAACTACACTCGCGAATAGTACGTATGTTCGCTGTTCTCGGATTACATACCCCTCTGACGAATATTTGTCTCGTACATTAGACAACAACGTTAACGTCTCTGTGGATACGATGTACCCGTTCGCGGATACGCTTACGACTACGATAAACGCCGACCAGGCGTTCACGTACTACGTACGGGTACCCAGCTGGGTGCCGAATGCTACGATTGCAGTCAATGGAGGAAACCCTGAAGCGGTTTCGCCCCAGAATGGTTTGCAGTCTATTCAAGTTGGTGCCGGGACAACCACGTTGGTAATGGACGTCACACCAGAAATCACTTTGGGTGTGTCTTTATCTTGAGCCGCCGTTATGACGTCACTGAAGAATCATTTCAGAACAACGGCCCGAGAACTCAATTGCTGTTCATCGAGGCCCATTGCACTACGCTTTCGATATCTCACGCAACTACACCGTTTTGAAACAAAACGCGATGCAGCCGCTCGCCGTTGACCTTCAGTTCCTTTATACGGACACCTGGGAGTACGCCATCGACCCTGACACCATCACGTTCAACTACGATCCTCCCGCCAACGGCACTCTACCATCACCCATCTACGACCATGAGCTGCCCCCAATGAGCATGACCGTCACAGCGTGCCAGATCACGTGGGGACTCGGCGGTGAGACATTTGCTGACAGCCCACCGGAGAATGCAACGTGCTCAGGGAGCCCCATGAACATTACGCTCTGGCCGTATGGAGCGACGAAGCTACGCATTGGGGAGTTCCCGACGTTCAAGGCGAATGACTGAAACTTCGAGCCGCCGCCGCAAGTATGTAGGGCAAAGAAAGGGTTACTATAAGGTATAGGTGTACTTGAAGATGAGTAAGCTTGTATTGTCGCAATGTATTGTGTCATTGCCCCTGTTTCACGCTGCAGCGAACGTCACAATCGTTGATATACTGTCAATCGTCACAGTGGGAGTTTATCTCGTCACAGTGAGAGCTGAGCATACGATCTTAGCTATAGTTCTTCCAAAAACATTGCGAGGAATTACCATCTTTGCGTTAGTACGCGTCCAACCAGACCCAGGCCCAAGAATGCGATCGGAAGGAACTTGCGATGTCAACCGTCCTTACCTTCAAAAAGGTTCCGACCATGCTTAAGGAGCTAAACGATCCTCCTCGCTGTCGCCATATCGCGATTTCGTCCTCGCTTTCCTGTAGACCATATTTCATTCGCCTCTTCGTTCGCCCATATCGCGCATTCCACTCTCGCTCCGTTCGGCAACCTACCGCCAATGTCGACTACTACTGACCAGTTTGACATTCATACACATACCGGTTTTATGCCTCCGGAGGCCCCTTTGCGTCGTCTTTCTGTTTACCTGACGCAGTATGAAGCTTGGGAAGTGATCCTAGATGATGCTATTGGTTTGCGTCTCCAGCTTGGGTCCAAGGAAGACTTGACGAGCGCGGAGGTCACAGCGAGTGCTCGTTGGCGAGCGCGGCTAGAAAAGGTGAGTCGTGGCTCTGAAAGCTTTAGGGCGCTAGTGGTGACAGTGACGGTGTATAGATGCCTGTTCTATCTGGAGAACCTCTCATGTCTTCAGAGCACTTCCTGCGACGAGCACATCATGTCCTCGCTTATCTCCTCCATTTCTATGTCAATTCCTTGCCACCTTCCACCCCTGTCATCATTCCTCATTCCATATCTCTGCCCATCCTTTCCGTATCCTGCAAAATGGACCTTCCGCCAGTCTTGACCTACTCGGACAACGTTCTGTATAACTGGCATGTCTCGGAAACGGAACCCCCTAAGGGCGGATTGTCCAAAGGCGTCATCGCCGGCCCGGCGGAGAGTATGCTGGGCCCAAGCTCGGCCGATAAAGACGCTTTCGGCTTCTATTCCCCGAAGTTCCCGACCGTCGACAGGGTCACGGTACTCCAGACGTTCACGTCCACTCGGTCCGAAGAGGTCTTCTACCTCGCCTCGCAGCGTGTCGAGCTCGCCGGAGCACGCGCTCTTGCGCTCATGGAGACCGTTCTGGACGAGCTGTTCCTTTCCGACGACCTCGCGTTCAGGCGAATCACGTCATACCTGGATTCGCTGGCTTCTGTGATCGCCGAGATGCAGCAAGCGCTCGAGAGCCTCAAGGACGGCTGCGAACCCGAGGTCTTTTATGGTGAAGTGCGAGGTTGGTTCTTCGGAGAGAAAGAGGGGAACCCATGGGTCTGGGAAGGAGCAGAGGAAGCCGGGTTTGAGAAGCCTACCAAGACAAAGGGGCCGAGTGCGGGACAGAGCACAGTCATACATGCCTTGGACATCTTCCTCGGTCTCGGAAACTGTGTCGCAACTCGGGACGGCGATGCGAGCGCGAACGGAGGCGAAGCCTCGTATCGCAGTCCCGGCTCTCTACTCCGCGATATGCAGGCTTACATGCCAGAGCGCCACCGCGCTCTTCTTATCCACCTTTCTGTCACTCCTCGTCAGCTTCGGGCGGCTATCGATGGACGAGTGGCTTCGTCTCGCGCTATGTCTTCGGACGATTGGGATTCTGAAAGCCTCGACACGGACACGCAAGCGCTGCTTGATGCGTACAACGCTTCGGTAGCTGCTGTGCGTTCGCTGCGCGACGGCCATATTCGAATTGTGGCTGCGTACATCGTATCGCCTGCCGCGAATGAGCGTACCCGATTGACAGAGAAAGGTTCAGCGAAGGACGATGTGACTGAACTGGAGACACCAGTGGACATTGGCAAGGCATCAAGAACAGCTGCTCAGCATGCGGTGAAGGAGGCAAGAGAATTGAAAGGAACAGGGGGAACGGACCTTGTTAGATTTCTGAAAGGCGTGCGCGACCAGACGGCTCATGCAGCACTAATTTAGGCTGAGATATTTTACGATATGCTTTAAAGCTCAGACTTTTGGAGCATCAAATAAAACATACTTGTGATGTGGGATTTTTCAACGGTTGTTCCTAATAGCTGCGACAGCCAAATAAGAACGTTGACTACGTTAAGCTTCTTATTGCCTTTTGTAACAAGACTGCACCAAAGACGGTTCCCATCTGGAGTAGACACGAGGCGTTGACGAAGTGTCGCTGCCGCCGACAAGGTACATCATATGAGCAGTTACCGTAATCACTATGGTCGTAATTTTATACTTCAGAGATCGTCACGCACTATAGTACTATATCGACGGATCAAAGCATACGATATACACATGAAACACGAGTTCACGTTGACCAACCGTCCACATCATACCATCTCTCCTTAGCCTCTTGATATATCCGACTCTCCCCTAGGCTAAAGCTGAACTCCACCGATGGAATGCCAAATTCCTCTCGTACTATATCGCCGGCGTGGCGAATTGAACTATCCTCGGTGTGCGCGAAAACGTCTCTCTCCTCCGAGAAGTTGACGAAGGTGAGGCTGGACAGGGAGCAACCCGATCGCATGAGGAAGCGGCTCACAAAGCCGAGGTCCCCTGACGGCGGGGCAGTAAGGACGAGGTCGCGAAGCGAGGGAATGGTCAAAGAATCAAGTAACCTCAAAGGTCCCTCCGGGTTAAATTCTTCTGGAGGATCGCAGCGGGGTCCTGTGACGAGAGCGAACGACCGCAATGTCCTTGCCGTGATCTTATCGTCGACCTGTCCGAATTCTGTCTGCCAGGTTGCGAGGAAGAGCTCGAGCAGGTTGGGAAAGTTGCGGAAGAGGAATTGCACGTAGACGGCGCTCCAGCATGTTGAGTGTGTCGTGTCCAGAGTCAGAGAAGTGACGTTTTCCCATGTGCGATACCGTAAGAATCCATCCAAATCTAGTCTGTTTTTAACGTGCACGTGAAGGTGCGTTAAACGATCGAAGAAGTCGCCAAGGCCGACGACACCGTGGAGAGCCACGAGTCTCGCAAGCTCGACGTTATGAAGAGAAAGTCGTGTGATGGAGCTGAACTGAGATATCCAATGAGAGAGCGGTATTACATGTACCTGCCGCGACAGGACATCGATTCCCCTGATAGTGTCGTACGTCGGATTAGGCACCTGAAAATATTCATAGCTGTCCTGTTCCAGGTTTAACATGCCTAAGTTCGATACATCAAGGGTGACAAACATAGGCAGTTGCCCCGCCCTCTTCAGTGGCTCGTAAGGACAAGGAATGTCCTTATAGGACAAGAATTCACCCTGGAGTACGATGCCGACCATATTCCATAGCTTCGGGGTGTTGATGGCAATGTCTCGCCACTTGCTACAGACCTGAGCGACATTTAGGGAGCCGCTAGGACCAGTTACTACAGATAATGAATGAGGGAGGACGGGTAGGAGGCCCGTATTATGATGTGGTATGACGGACGTTTGAGATAGGGAGAAGATCTCGCTCAAGAGCTCGACGGGAATCCTGGGTACAGAGGAAACCAAGCGAGAATGGTAACCTAGAGAATCCTCTAAGACGTTGATCAGGCGCGATACCTCTGAAAATATTGCTTTTGCGTCTTCAACCATTGACGACAGCGTGTCCACAATTGCTCGAACCTGACATGTCTCTGATGCTGTCGTGACACTGTGGTTCATCCTTGCGTACGGAGTAAACGGAGTATGAACAGTGGCCTGCATTACGTTATGATCCCAAGAAGGTACGACTATATGATACGAGACGTACCGTGACCTCAAGAGCAAGCGTTGGGAGCTGATTTGTTATAGCATGTTCAAGGTGGTGAGAAAACGCAAGCGCAGCGGCTACTTACGAGATTGCCAATCACGTGCAGAGTCGCACTGGATTCACTCTTGAAGGGCATGATTCCGTCTCTGGAGTTGAATGCGAGGTGTAGTTAGACTAACAAAACTTTGCAAAGACGCGATCAATATGTTGGGCGACAAGAGAGACGAGCCTGTTGGAAGTTGCTGAATGCTGTGGTGGTGGGCAACGCCCGCCAGCAGCGCGTAGCGCTTACATAAGCAAAAATCCTCGAATCCGCGGCACACCTCACGTCGCCGCTGCTCAGTCCTTGTTCTGTCTCAAACCAGCCTCAATACCAACGTTTTCGGCGCTGAATATATTTAAGGTAAAGTAATATTATAAGTTGAGTCTCTAAGATGATACTAACATTATATTAGCTTTGATCAACCGTCAAAGTCATGACTCCGGTTCGACAGGTGTTTGATCACTGTTATCTTGACCTTGGTACTGCTGAGCGACATTCCAGACCACTTCGAGTAGCTGAGCCCTCGTACGTCGGCCTGCATAAGGCCCAGTGGAAACGTGCTGTGCTCAGATGGGTGGGAATCCGGGCGGATTGGTGAATCGAAGCATATCTCGTGGTGCTTCTTTGATGCACCGATACACACCAATGCGAACCGATGGCTGGACTGTTCACCGATTTTTTCACTTCAGGCCCCCCCTTTAACTAGTCTCTTGGACATAATTAGTAGTTGTTAAAACCTGTCTAAGAGACCCTTTACCTGTGGATAGTCCATGATTCCATGGATCATAGTGGCTGTAACTGTGGGATAGTGGGCCAATATATGCCACCATATACAATGTTGTCCGTGGACGCAACATGTACATGAGATGGTGTGGTCCATGGATAAAGGCTCAACTGAGAGCTCATGGACAGAAACAGTGGTATCAGGGGTCTCCTTGCCAATGGTGCACAGGTGCTATTGCAGATCTTGGGACATTCGGAGGGACATAGACAGTAGCACTAGCCCTGTTGTCAAGGCAGAGCACAATGAGGACATGTTACTGGCCCAGAGGGGTGCTGAAGTATGGGAGTGACTCCCTTAAAAGGGTGCTACATCAGAAGCCAAAGGGGGGCATGATGCATGGTCTGCATGGTTGTATGCTCTCCATGCTTGTATGCTCCCTGTGCTGCTATGCTCTCCCTGCTGGTACACTTTGCATGCTTGTACACTCTCCG